ACCAGACGGAAGCCTGCGCATGTGCATCGACTACCGAGCTCTCAACAAGCAGACCATCAAGAACAAATACCCAATCCCACGAATCGATGACCTGCTCGACCAGCTTCAGGGAGCCATGGCATTTTCAAAATTAGATCTGCGGTCCGGATACTGGCAGATAAGAATGGCGGACGATTCCGTTCACAAAACTGCCTTTCGAACTCGGTACGGATCGTACGAGTATCTGGTAATGCCATTCGGACTCACCAACGCACCTGCAACATTCCAAGCAGAGATGAATCATATCCTATGCCCGCTCTTGGACGAATGCGTGGTGGTGTACTTGGACGACATCATCGTCTACTTGCGCGACATGAAACAACACGTCGAACACCTGCGACGCATCTTCGAGATTCTTCGACGAGAACGCGTCTACGTCAAACTAACCAAGAGCGACATCGCCCTCGAGAAAGTCCAATTCCTCTGACATATCGTAAGCGCTCAAGGAGTTCACGTCGACCCCAAGAAAATCGAAGCCGTGTGTACGTGGAAAACACCCGAGAACGTAAAGGAGTTACAGCAGTTCCCTGGCTTTGCTAACTACTACAACAGGTTCGTGCCGCAATACGCGAAAATCGCCGCACTACTCACGAATCTGCTGAAGAAGAACATGCCCTATAACTGGGAACCAAGACATCAGGAAGCCATGGAACAGCTGAAACAAGCACTCACGTCCGCACCCGTACTCATCTTGCCAGACCCGGAATGCGATTACGTCATCGAAGCTGACGCCAGCGACCAGGCAGTGGGAGCAGTCTTGATGCAAGACCAGGGGAATGGACTGCAACCAATTGCCTATCTCAGCAAAAAATTACACGGAGCAGAACTCAACTACCCGATACAGGACAAGGAGGCCCTTGCTATCATCATCGCCTTCAAAACGTGGTGATGTTATCTCGAAGGACGCAAAACAACAGTCTGAACCGACCATTGCAGCCTAAAATATTTGAAGACGCAACCAAGCCTCTCCAGGCGACGGGTTCGATGGATCGACTTCCTCGAGACACACTTCCACTACGACATCGTGTACAAGCCTAGCCATAAAAACAAAGCAGATGCGCTTAGCCGGCCTACACACGTTGCCGCTATCCAAATTGAAGAGATGAATCCACTCCTCAAGGGACTCTTCACACACGGGTACACCATCGACCCCGAAATTCCCTTGGCAGAGAAGCGACATCTGCTACAGTGAGACAACGACATCGCGTACTGGAAAGGATCAACAAAGATCTGGGTACCAAATTACCCTCTTTTGCGCCAGTTACTACTCGAAGAATACCACGACGTCCTGTACGCAAGACACTTCGGTAGCAAGAAGACGCTCACCGGTATCGCCAAACACTACTACTGGCCCCACATGGCAAGTTCACCAGTAAATTCTGGAAAGAACTGATGTCTCTACTCGGAACCAAACTCGCCATGTCATCCGCATATCATCTGCAGACAGACGGTCAGACTGAGCGTCTTTACCAAATTGTGGGGCAAGTCCTCCGCGCAGCCTGCAAGGACGAAATCTCCAAGTGGGACTTGCATCTGCCCATCCACGCCGCTACTGGACAGACGCCGTTCTTCTTCTGTTACGGACGCCACCCACTCACACCACAACAGCCAACTATACCAGCCACAGTCCAACCCGCTCATGATTTCATCACGACCATGCAAAAGCTTTGGGATCGGACCCACAAGTGCCTTTTCGACATTCAGCAACAACAGAAGCGCCAGGCCGATCGCCACCACACAGACCACACCATCACCGTGGGAGACCGAGTACTGCTCGACACGCGCAATCTTGACATCAGCCATCTCCCATCCAAACTGCGACCTCGCTTCTGCGGGCCTTTTCTCGTTGAAGCACAGGTCACTCCTGTTACCTTCCGCTTACGCCTGCCAGCTACCTGGAAGATTCACAACGCCTTCCATGTCCAACTCTTGAAGCCCTACCGAGATCCCAACACAGTCTTCTCTGGGTGCCAACCGCCGCCGCCACCGACTGTCCTCGTTCATGATGAACCCGAGTACGAGGTCGAGTCCGTGCTTGCTCACCACCGTTGACAGAATGGCACCGTGGAGCTTCTCCTCCGTTGGAAGGGTTATGATCCTTCAGAGGATAGCTGGCTATCTGAATCCGAGATGGATCACGCTCGTCGTCCTCTTCGCAACTACCTTGTCAAGCAGGGTGTTACGTCTACCACCCAGCTTTGGGGGGGGGAAGTGTGAGAGTACGACCCCGTTCCATTCTTTTCTCCTTTCCATATTCCCTTTCCATTACATTCATCTTTTTATCATGATTCATTTGGTCTTTATCTCATTCCATTCGGATTCCTATTCCTCCTTTTCCATAAACCTTTAGTTTATCAGGTTATTATCATTATATCACCGACCAGGCTCGGGGTGTACTGGCGCGCTATATCTAGCGTAATCCTGTCGTACTCCTTTAAAGCCAATAGCATCGCGTGGCTGTACGCAGGGTGATTCTATTTTCTAGAAGGGTCTATTCCCTTGAGATAGGATAGACCTGGTAACATTATGTACTTTGGAAGTATAAAAGCGCCTTGTACTGATCGATAGTGCAACATTTCCTCGACACATTCGATCCTGTGACACCTGGAGTCAGCACCCCCAGAACTCGCACCCCCAGAACCAGCACCCCCAGAGCCCACTGCTCCTTGCTGCTGCTGTTGCGGCCGTGGAGTCTGCTGCGGCGACGGCTGCTGTTGTTGAGGCAAGGGAGCAAGCAGCTGAGGGGCCTGGGGGACCGAGGCTGGGAGAGGCGCCACAGGGACAACAGGCGCACCCCCAGCAGCTGGGCCCCCAGAGTCAGCCGACTCCCCCACAAGGGGAACCGAGGGGAACTGAGTGGCGTGGGAGACACCAGACTGGGCCAGGCGGGGCGGGAGGGGTGCGGCAGGGGGGGCAAGGACAAAGAAGAGAGGAGGAGGAGGCACAGGAGCGCTGCAGTGCGGGAAGCGCTGGTAGTAGGGGAGCGTCTTGTCGAAGGTGACGTCACGAGAGTGGTAAAAACGGTGGTGGGAGGGGTGGTAGAACAGCCAGTCAGAGGCGTCAAGCGGGAACCTCAAGAAGACACACGGAAGAGTGCGGGCTGAGAGCTTGTCCGCGGCAGTATCGCGGACGTGAGCAAGGCTGCCCCAGACGTGGAACGCAGACGGTCACCAGGAGACCCGGTCCAGAGGAGGGTCGGCGAAACCTGTGGTCGCTGGGAGCGCGGCCACAGGTTAAGCTAGTGAGTAGTGTAGCGCACTGCGAACGGCCATAGAAAATGGGGTGCACTGGCGTGGATCATGGAGGTGCGAGCCACCTCCATGATCAGGCCGATGCGTCGCTCAGCGACCCCATTCTGCTTTGGGGAGTCCGGCAGTGTGTACGTCTGGCGGATGCCCTCCGTACGACAGAACCGTCCTAGAGAGCCAGAGGCGAACTTGCCACCGCGGTCAGAGTGTAAGCGACCTACAGACAGTCGGTGGGCGGTGAGAAAAGTGAGAAGCCACGAGAGGAGAACGGTCGGCACGTCAGCCTTCCGCTCCAATGGGAAAACTGTGGTGAACCGCGAGAAGTGGTCAACGACGACTAGGAAGTAGCGCTCCCGACTTAGACCATGGACCGGGGCAGGGCCCCAGACGTCCATGTGCAGTGTCTGTAGCGGTGCTGTGGTAGGAGGAAACGAGGAGGAGTGAGGGGCGGCGCGCTGCGGCCCTCGACACAGGAGGTGCACAGTGGCGCTATTGATGGAGGCAAGGCGGGGAGCGATGCAGGGAGACCAGTGACTAGACTGTATTGGGACATGTGCCTAAGACGCGGGAGTGCAGGGTGACCTAAGCGGTGGTGCCACAGAAGGGTCGGGTGAGCTAGTGAGCGACAGGAGCAGGACGCGGCAACCTCGGCAGACGCAGCAGTGAGCGGGGACTCACGGTGCAGGGTAAAGCGGCGGGCGGGCGCTGGTGAGCTGGTGCTGGCGACTAGCAGCTGGCGAGCTGGCGGCTAGCAGCTGGCGCCTAGTAGCTGGTGAGCTGGCGCTGGCGGTTAGCAGCTGGCGAGCTGGCGGCTAGTAGCTGGCGGCTAGTAGCTGGCGAGCTGGCGCTGGCGGCTACAAGTTGGCGGCTAGCAGCTGGCGCTGGCGGCTAGCAGTTGGCGGCTAGCAGCTGGTGCTGGCGTCGGCTAGCAGCTGGTGAGCTGGCGCTGGCGGCTAGCAGCTGGCGAGCTGGCGGCTAGCAGATGGCGAGCTAGCGGCTAGCAGCTGGCGGCTAGTAGCTGGCGAGCTGGCGCTGGCGGCTAGCAGTTGGCGGCTAGCAGCTGGCGAGTTGGCGCCGGCTGGTAGCAGCTGGCGAGCTGGCGCTGGCGGCTAGCAGCTGGCGAGCTGGCGTGCTGGCGGCTAGCAGCTGGCGGCTAGTAGCTGGCAAGCTGGAGCTGGCGGCTAGCAGCTGGCGAGCTGGCGCTGGCGGCTAATAGCTGGCGAGCTGGCGCCGGCAAGCTGGCGCTGGCGTGCTGGCCCTGGCGAGCTGGCGCTAGCGGCTAGTGTTGGCTGACGAAGGTGAGTTGGCGCTGGCGAGCTGGCGGGCTGGCTGGCGCTGGCGTCAGGGACGAGCTACGATCGGGGGGGGGGGGAGGGGGATCGGCGACTAACGAAGGCGCCAATGTGGCGCGAGCTAGCGGCGGCTGGCGCTGGTCGGCACTAGCTGGTGGCGGCTGGCGCTAGCCGACGCGAGCTACGCGACGAGCAGAGTAGGGTGGGGAGGGGACGATCTACACGGCGCGCAACTAGGGGCGAGGCGCGCTAGGCTAGGGTGCTAGGGCGGAAGCATGAGTAGAGGGCGAGACCTAGCTCTAGATGCCATGTTAGAATGTCGAGAGAAAATTGGACTAAGGGAGGAAGGCTGAGGGTTACAAAGGTGGGAATGTACCCTCTAAGAACTGACCTAACTAAGGCTATAGCAAATATACTCTACCTAGCATAAACAATTATATTTGTTGACATAAATCTCTTATTTCACAATATCTTGTCGCAACAGGACACCATCATACGAGTCGGGGCAACGTTGAAGAGGCACACCTGCTAATCTCAAACCCTCATAATCACTCGTGATATTCCCCCCCCCTCCCGGGCACTGAAAGGGAGGCGGGGCATGGTGCATGCACGGCTCCATAGGCGCCTTGTAACAAGACCGTTCAATAAAGAAGGCCGGCCGCGCAAAGAGGGACGACACGAGGTAGCCAAAGGTGGAGGCCGGGAAGGTGAGGACAACGTCGCATGCAAGCGCTAGAGAGTAGATGTCCACTATGGCGTGCTCTAGCTCCGACTGCAGGCCGGTTTGGGAGGTTTCCACTGTGATGCGCTCGAGCGCAATACTGCCGTTGCTGATGCTGCTGCTGCTCACAAGGGCCTCTCTGGCCATGCCTGTGCTGGGAACTGCAGAGAAGGCAGCTTCTAAGCTGTCAGCCGATGTGCTTTGGCTGCCTTGGGTTGCTACTCCTCCTCCTCTTTCATCCTTCTCTCCTCTTTCATCCTTCACTCCTCCGCCTCCTTCGTATCCACTGCTTCCCCTGTTTATCCCATCGCTGGCACCAGGAGCGCCGCTGGTGTATGTGATGTTGGTGAGGGGATCGGTGCTGCGAAAGAGCAGCTGAGAGACATTGAAGCACACATGGGGATTGAGAGATGCAATCACCACTGCCGTCACATCCCTTACACTCACCCTCTCGCTCACTCCCCTGGCTCCAGCCACTGATTCAACCTTTTCTCCAGGACTATCCGAGCCACTGCTGCTACCAATGCTGTTGCCACTGATGCTGCTGCTGACATCCCCCTCACTGCCGCTGCCAGCCACCCCACCACTATTCCCCGCTGCTGCACCAGCAGCAGCAGAAGCAGCAAAGGCAGAAGGAGAAGCCGTACCTACTTCGGCTGCGAGTCCACCGTCCAGCCTTACCAGTCTCGCCTCTGCAAGCTCGGGCTTCAGCAAAGCTGCCTCAATACACGTTGCCGCATCCCGCACAGTATCCTCGTGCCAATGCCTCAACTGCAGCCCAATCCGGGCAGCAGCAGGGGCTGCCCGGGCGTGAATATTCTGCGTGATTGCCGCCCAGAGGTGGTTCTGGGGAAACATGATGAGCTGCGAAATTGTCTGGAAGATCCTTCCGGAAGGGAAGAGGTCGGAGAGGTGGCGGCGGAAGGAGGTGATGTAGAAGAGAGGGGTCAGAAAGAACTGGTTTGCCTGGAGAAGGAGTGCGGGCACGCGAGCGAGCCAGCGCTGCTCCGATGCACAGAAGAAGAGGCTCATGTTGGTCGTGAAGTGGTAGATGGTCACGCCGAGACTGGACGTGCAAGAGAATGGGGCGATGGGGTTGTGTGTGGTGGGATGGGATGGGAGGGGAGGGGAGAGAATGGGGACGCAAACTTCAGAGAGGGTCTGGAGGGATGGGAGACAAGAAAACATGGCACAAGGATGATCGCATACGCAGAGAGAAATCACTGGGAGAGAGCGGGGAGAAGGGAGTCAGGGGAAGAGTGGGAGATGGGAGGAGGATCGTCTGAGAGGGGGAGAGGGAGGGAGGGAGGGAGTCTCTTACGCTGGTGGCACGGGCATGGAGTCACTGGTGCCGTTGGCCATGGCCTGAACCCGCACAGTGAAGTACTCCTCCACCTGCTGCATTGCAAGCACTGTCGCCGCCCACAGCTCCTCCTGATTGTCCTCAAACACAAACCACCGCTCTGCACCGCTCTTCCCACCACTACTATCAGCAGCAGCAGCCCCATCCCCATCCCCAGCACCAACACCAACCCCAGCACCAGCACCAGCACCAGCACTGCCACCGCCACTGTCACCACTAGTATCAGCGGCACCAGCATCACCACCACCACCAGCACTGCTGCTACCACCACCCTCATCAGCAGCACCACCGCTCCAACTCCCCCCATTCCCACCTTGGAACGGATCGCACATGAGCTTCGCAGGCCCCTGCTCTGCCAGCAGCAGGAAGATCCGATTCGTAACCAGCGCATACACAAACGCGGATACCAGCGACACGTACTGGTTGCCTTGCCCGTCTCCTGACTTGGAGCTCCACAGCAGGTACCTGCACTCCGTGGGAATGCCTCCCGTGAGCTTGGCTTTAAGAGCGGTTCTGTTCTCTTTGGCGCTGCACTCCCGCCTGTACTCGTTATAAGCCCGGAGCTTCCGCCTGAGGGCTTCGGAGCGAAGAGCCATGCCGTGTGGGCCGGCGTAGCACCGCATCTCAATTCGACTCCAGCAGGCGGAGGGGGAGCGACGGTAGTGAGAGGGGGAGGAGGAGGAGGGCACAGGAGAACTGGAGAAACTTGCACTTTGTGTGGCTGCTGCTGCTGCTGCTGCTGCTGTTAAATCTGCTGCCGGTGGTGGTGCTTCTCCTGTGGTGGGTGGCGCTGCTGCTTGTGCAGCAGCAGTCTTGTTTGGCTCCACAGCAGAAGCAGCAGCAGCAGAAAAAGAAGAAAGGTGAAGAAGAGGAGGATGTCGGGACGAGACAATGTAGCTGCATTCTGAAAGCAGCATTGGTCGGGTGTGCCAACAAGCAACAGGGAAGGGGGAAAGGGATCGGGAAACTGCTTTTGAGTCGACTCAAGAGGAGCATGTGGGGACGAGCCAATGTAGTTGCATTCTGAAAGCAGCATTGCTTTGCCAGCAAGGAACAGGGAGGGGGGAAAGGGGTCGGGAAACCAAAGGAGGTGGGTGATGGGAAAGACATGGACCGAACGAGCTCTCATCTTGTTTTGAGGCGCCTCCAAACTAGACTCCTATCATGCGGGAAACCAAAGGAAGTGGGTGAAGGAAAAGACATGGACCGAACGAGCTCTCATCCTAGAGGACCCTTAGAGACCAACAAGCAAAGAACCTAACACAGCTGACGGCGAGAAATGGCACGTGCACTAGTCTCAAGCCTTTTGAACCTGGAAACCTGGAAAAAAGACGCAATACTGGAAGTGCAGGAGAGGAGAGAATGAGAGGATGATAACGGAAGAGAGTGCTCTGAAGGGACGAAGCAAGACTCGAACTGCAGGAGAGGAGGATAGAGTGAGATGCAGAGAGTGCGATGTAGTGACGAGTGCGATGTAAGCACACTGGAAGGCAGAGCTTGAGTGGAGAAGGGAAACGGGGTAAGCTCACACCCAGCTTGAAAGCGTCTCGAGCAGACGGCCCACTGCTGCCACTGTTGCCCCTGGGAGGTTCCCAAGGTGTAACGGCGTGCTGTGAACAGAAATCACGTCAGTGGCGCCGTAAAATTTTAGGCGCCTCAAAAATTTAGTATCAGTTCAAGACGCCAAGGTGTAACGGCGTACCGTGAACAGAAAGTACGTCAGTGGCGTCGGGCGAGCCGAAACCAGTCGGCGGTAGAAGCAACAGACACGAGAGTAGCCCTAGCAGCGGCAGCGACGACGTGACGCGCGAACGTCGTGCCATGTTGCCGCGCGCAGGGAGGAAAAGAAGCTGGTATCTCCCAGTTATTATCGTCACCGTCAGCGTCAACGTCATCGTCATCGTCATCGTCATCGTCATCGTCAACAAGCTGGTCACGACGATCACAATGGACGTCTCCTACTCGGATCGAGGTGGTAGTAGCTCTCGGTCAAAGATGCCATTCTAGTCGACGCGGGTGACGGGCGGCGAAGAGGGATACACGAGAAGCGCCAGAGAACGAGTCCGTTGACGAGCGGAGCTAGCGGGGGGTGAAGCTTCGCGTCGCAGGTGGGCCATGGCCAGGGAAGACTGAGGCGGGAAACACGGGGACGGGAAGCACAGTGTGTGCAAAAAATGATGCCCTGGGCATTCTCTGGCCTTGATTGCCAGCGATGGACTAAGCATACACATCAGAGCGAGGTTTCGATCCTCGGACCTGTGGGTTATGGGCCCACCACGCTTCCGCTGCGCCACTCTGATATGGATAGAAAACAATATTTTTAATCTTATTATATTATTTACTTCCGTCCCTTAAAAACGTCAGGGCTGTCATCAGTTAGTTAATAGGTCAACAACAGTGAGTAGGTTGAAATTAGGAGCTATCGTATTGCCACTGGCTGTACAGCAAGTATAGACCGCACCACATGCCCTCTCTCATCCACCCACACTACACTCCCATAAGAAAACGCTCCTATCGGGGATGGCCTGAGCACTGTGAGATTCACACTATATGTCACCATTTCCCCAGGCTTGATTGTGAACTTGCTCGGCCTAACCACCACCTTCACATTAGCTGGAAACATGGCTATCCTCGCCTCATAAGTGCATGTCAACTTGGACACGCTCGTAACGGAACGCCTCACCAGCACGGAGCCTTTCAGCCGTCCGATGGCGATCGATGGACGGTTGAGCTTGTAAGCCTTTTTTGGACGGAGCTTAAACTTGGGCCAGAGTCGCTTGGTGCGGCTCAAACTCTGGCCTGCAAGGAAATTAATGTAGCTGTAGATGCCAGCATTGAATGTTAGTCCTGGGTCGAGGATGGAGGGAGGATATATATGGCCTTGGCCCATGTCCCAAGGCGTGGCGGTCTTGCCCCGGGCTGTTCGAATGGGAAGGTAGATGAGGGAGGAGTTGTCAGTAGAGGTGATGATGCCCATGGCTGCGGTTGCGGCTGCGGCTGCGGCTGTGTCGCTGCTGTTGCTGCTGTTAGCTGGTTTATGCCTGCTAGAAAAACGGCTAGTTCTTCTCCTACCGCTGCTGCTGCTGCTACTGCTGCTGGTGCTGCGGCTGTGGCGGCTGCTCTGGCTGCTGCTGCTGCTCACAACCCCTCTTCTCCTATGTCTGCTGGTAAGTCTCCTGCTGCCATCCCCAGTGTTAGAAGTTAGCAAAAGCCTACCACTATTTGTTCCTTGCACCACTGGCCTTGCCGTGCCCTCGCCCATCCTCTCCGCCCTCACTACCCGCCTACTCCTCTCCAGGCTCCGAACAGGCCTCCCCGTTACAGGCCTAGAGGCACCTGGCAGTGGCGGCTGTGGTGGTATTCTTCGACTAGGTACACTCCCCCCATCCCTAGGATACAGTCGTGACCCACGTGGCTGTCGTGGCTGACGTGGCAGTTGTTGGTATCCAGGCTGGCGAGCGGTGGGTTTTCTTGGCTTCACGCGGGCGACGGACCCTGCAGTTGTGGCGTAGGAGCTCCTGGCAGTGGTGGTTATGGCAGACATGACCTGAGCGGGGGTCCAGTCGGGGTGGTTCTGCACTATCAGCGCTGCAATCCCCGCCACGTGGGGCGTTGCCATGGACGTCCCTGAGAGGATGGCAAAGGAGGGTCTCTTTTTGTTGGTTGGATTTGCCTGCTTCCAGCTGCGAGAGAGCCTCCGACTGCCAGTACCAGAAATGCTGAAGCTGCTGCTGCTGCTGCTGCTGCTGCTGAGGCTGCTGTTGCCGCTGCTGGTGTGACTGGTACCACTGCCCCTCGCCGCATCCCACCCCACTCCACCCTGCCGCCTTGGCCTCGCAACAGACATGGGCGAAGGGGGGCTATTCCCATGCCCAGTCCACGCAGCCCAAATGTCCACTCCAGGCGCCACCACATCTGGCTTTAAGAGATCATTTGTAGGGTACGGCGGGGTCGCTGCGAACCTCGGGTTCACCGTGGGTCCTGTGGAGGAAAAAGACGCGACCATGGGGGGCGCGACGTTCTCTAGGATGTGGCACCGGGCCAAGATGGAAGCGATGGGTTTCGTCGTGCTTTGAATGTACGCTCGGATGATCCTAGCCTGCGCTAGAGTGACGTGGACGAAGGGGATTGGTGCGTCTGCGGCAGCGGAGAGAGTGTCCACGTCAGTAGGGCCGCCCTCCTCGTTGGCAAGGATCATTGCTGCGCTGCCCGCTGCAGCCACTGCGAGGAGCTTGTCCCGGACGTTCACCATGCCGCGCGTGCAGAGGACTATGGCGCCGAGAGCACGGGCAGGGGAGAGCATTCCGGGTATGCAGTGGCTGGCCTGGCGCCGGGGGAGAAGGGGATGGGATGGGGGAGATGGGCAGGGGAGACAGAAGGAGGAGACTGGAGGAAAGAGAGGAATGGCCCCTGGACGGCCAGGCAGAGCCGCTCCCCGTGGGCGACCTGGTGCAAGTGTTACAGCCTTAGGTCCTCCGAGCCTGCATGCATATCCCTATTCCTCTGCCATGCCTGTACCCTATCTCTATCTAATACAAAGGACCAATTGAGGAAAGGGAGAGGGGATGGGTATGGTGGGATGATGGGAGGAGGGGAAGGAACGATAAAAATAATGCATGAAAAGACTAGGGGAAGAGGATATGGGAAGGGAGGGATGTCAGCAGGCAACAGAGAGCATGATGAATGGTGGAAAAGACTAGGTTTAGGGACCTGGTTTGGCCGCATCCGCAGCAGAGAGCAGGGACATGTGGCAAGTGGCGTATGTGTCGGAGTGGCACAGCAGACGCGTAGATCACCCCTTGATTGTCGTGAGACTTAGGGACACTATCTATCACCGTCACCACCATTACCTGGCACCAACCATCAACAAGGAACCCAATGGCATCAGCACTATCAACCACCACCACTGTCAACCACCCTCACCACTACTGCAGCGACCCACCCCTTCCAGAGATGCGTCTGGTGTGGCGGCATCGGCAGCAGAGAGCAGTGGCACGCGGCGAGTGGCGTAGGTGCCGGAGCCCACTCCAGACTTGCAGACCAGCCGTTGATTATCAACGGCACCAGTCAGACTCAGAGACACTGGCACGACCGCAACCACCCTCACCACAACTATCAGGCACCCTCGCTATTCCCACCACCCACCACCACCATCAATCACCCGCATCCACCGCTATGTGTGAGGAGCCTATTTTTGAGGCGCCTCAAAAATATCAATCACCCGCATCCACCACTATGACAGCAACCCACCCCTTCCAGTGAGGCGTCTCGCGCGGCGGCATCGGCAGCAGAAATCAGCGGCGCGTGGCGAGTGGCGTACATGCCAGAGCCCACTCCAGACGCGTAGATCACCCTACCACTGCCCAGCCTCAGCTGCGTGAGAAAGCGACGACCAATGGAACTGCGTGGGTTTCGAGTTTATTGGGAAGAGAGTAGGAGGGGGAGAGTAAGAGAGCCGTTGGGTTGTTGGGGGGAGAGCTGGTCGTAGGTGAGGCAACAGGTGAGCACATACAAAGACAGACACGCTGAATAGTGTATGCATGCACAATGAATATCTCACCCAGGTTTCATCCCACAACACACCCACGCGTCGTTCCACGCCAAACAGACAGGCCATCATCACCACCTTGCCCCCACGCACCTTGCCCCCACGGTCAGATAAAACGGCGAGAAGTTACTAATCGTGCGGTAGATCCCGAACCTCTGCCACAGGCCCAGGTTCGGCGCCGGGCCTTGATTCCCAGCCGCGGTAACCACCACCATGCCAGCCTGATTCGCCAGAAGATACAGCAGATCGTCAAAGTAGTGCTGGTTGGGCCCCAGCCCGCCCAAGGAGAGAGATAGCACGTCCACGCCATCCTTAATAGCCCGGTCGATGGCGTAGTGCACGTCGGCGAGCTCCCCGTAGCCTTTGAGGGAGGCGTTGGTCCAGAGGACCTTGTAGACGGCTAGATGCGCCTTGGGCGCCATGCCGCTGGCGAGGCCGAAGGAGCGGATGGGGTAAGGCTCGGAGGAGGTGGTCACCAGGGTGCCACCCGTGCCTGCTGCTGTGCTGTGAGGGGCGCAGAGGGCAGGGTGGGATGGATGGATGGGGTGGGAATGAGAATGGGGCCACACGGGTGGTACTGCGCCTGGTGCTGTGCTGGTGAGGGGCACGGTGGGGTGGGGCGAAGTGGATAATGGTATTGGCTTCAGAATGGTGTTTGAGATGGGAACAATGGGTGTCGGTGGGAGGGGATGGGCCATGAGCGCATATAAAAATTAGGTGCCATGAGCATCAGGGCGTCGAGGCAACCTATAGTCGACCAACACAGCATGGCACGTCAACCTGTGCATCATCAACCAGAGCTCAACCTCCAACCAAACCTTTCCTACTGTGGCATCCACCCCACAACCCCCAACCCGTTCCAAACCCCATACACCCATCCGACTGCCACCTGTAACCACCTACCCAACCCACTACCTACCCTGCACACCCCACCGACCCATCCCACCAGCTACCCATCCGACCAGCTACCCATCCGACCACCGACTCATCCCACCACCTCCTACCCCGCACCAAGTGCCGTGCCATCCCACAACTCAGAACCCCGCACACCACCACCCGTAACCACCTACCCCGCACACCACGTGCCGTGCCCGTCAGCGTCCCTGGGCGACCGATAGTCGTGCTGCACGTCCACCACCCCGCCCTGCGCTTCGTACGCGCGCGAGAAGAAGCGCGCGCCGATCAGCTTGCGCGAGCACCGCGATGCAGGGAAGTCGCGCGTGCGCACGCACTTCCCCGCCCACCGGCGGGGGGGACGCGGGTAGGGGCCCGACGACTGGGGGGGAATAGGCGGGTAACGTTGAGAAAGGGAGGGGGAAGATGGAAGAGTGCACGTGCACGCACTTGTCCGCTCAAGGTGAAAGGGAGTAGGGGGATGAGGGTACGGGCCTGTGGTCTGGGGGGAGGTGGTGGTGTGGGTGGGCGATGGATGGGGACATGGTTGGGGGATGGTGGAGAGGAGGATGAGGGAGAAGGGATGTTTCGGATATGAGGGAACCTGTTGCAGGTTGTCAAAGGTGGTTCGGTTGCATGGGATTGTGTGTCTAAACGCAGTGAGTTGGCTTGTTGCGTGTGGTCTAAACGCACACTTCGTGGCCGAAAATAATAAGAGGTAATAAAACTCACGTTATCTATTCGAAACGAAGGGTGCTCGGGCCAGATTCCCGTGTCCACCACGCCGATTATCACTCCTTCACCTGCTCGGCTTGGCCCTCCGCTAGAGGCCCACATGGATCCGGGCAGCTGCAAAAATCTCGGCGTGTATGTGGTGGCGGATCGGACGCCGTAGCTCCTGGTGACGTCAGCCACCATGGGATGGCGCTTTAATCTCCTGACGTCCGCTTGAGTGAGGCGCGCTGCGAAGCCATTGGCGGCAAACTTGTAACTGGATAAGGGGGAAGCGGGAAAGAGAGGGCCTGATGAAGAGAAGACCGTAAATTTTGGAGATGTTACAACTTTCAACAACACCCAGCAGGATGGCATTGGCTGTGAGGTTGTAACCGCCATATAGTGGGTGAGAGCGGAGGGGAGGGGAAGCAAGGCGGGCAGAGAGTGGAGGGAGCGGCGGGGGGGGGGGGGGGGAAAGGGGGGGAACAGGAGGGTGCAGAGAGGGGCGGATGTGGGAGGGAAGCTTGTGGGGGGTGGACGATAGACGTGAGGGAAAGATGGATTTGTGAGATAACGAAATGCGGGGGATCGAACGGAATCGAGCAGGGGCCGAGCAAGAAGGGAGCTCCAACCCTGAGCTTGTAGAGCAACCACCATGTTCGCTTGGCGGCTCACTCTGTGTCGCCGCAGCCACCACCACCACCACCACCACCACCACCACTACCACCACCACCACCACCACCACCACCACCTGCTGCTGGCTGCTCTTAGAGTGGACTCAGAAATAACCAGTCTACCCAGTCACTCACACCGACCCACCAAACCCACGGCGCGCACCTGTACAGCATGTTCTCCTCGCGCACGCGCGCCTCCGCCACCACCTGCTGCTGCTGCCGCACCAGCATGCGCGCAAACGCCTTCACGTGCGCCGCCTGCACGTTCACGCGCACTCCGCGCGCCGACGGCACGGGGCCCCGCGGAACTTCTTCCCCCACTCCCCCCCCCCCGCGGCTGCTAGTCCGCGCCTTCATGCTTATGCGAATTCTTGCCACCTCTGGATCAACCGACTCGGTATTATCAACATCCGCGTGACTGTTGCCGTCGTCCTCGCTATTATCATAATCGTCCGATTCGTCATTGTCTACTGCGTCACCCGCGGTCGTTACCGCGGAGGTTCTAGCCCGTTTTCGGCTTTCTGCGGCGGCTACTGCTGCTGCTTCCGCGACGACCGCAGGGGAGGCGGTGGCGGGGAATCCCGGAATGCCGCCGACGTACGCGGGAATGGCGGGCGCGGAGCGCAGGCGAACTATGTAGACGGCCGGATGGCCGCCTGATAAGGGGGAATAGACGCGGGGGTAACGGGGGGGGGGTGGGGGGGTGGGAAAGGAAGAGAGAGGTGTGGAAGGAGGGGGGGGGAGGGGGGGAGAAGGGGGCTAAGGGGAAGGGTGGGTTATGTGGGGGGTATGGGGAAGGGACTCGGGCTTTAAGGGGAGCGATGCTGAGGTGACATGGGTGGTGGGGTAAGGGAGGGTGAAGCAGACGAGACGAGAAAGATAAAGATAAAAAGTGGAGAGGAGGAAAGAATAGAAGAGGCACGTACCCGGAACGTCCCGGGAGTCGACAGTACTAAGCGCCAGGAGATGCAGCAAGAGCAGCGCACAGCGCAGCAGCCACGCGGCATCGTGCCGGCATGAGAGCCTCCTGCCAAGAATCCCCCACCACCGCCGGCCCTTTCGTCCCTGCCACTGCCCCCGTCCCAATGCTCGCTCCTGTTGCAACACCCGTCGCTCTCCCCTGCTGCTCTTAGAAAAAATCCTCCCTTCACTCTGCCTCCCGCTCGCCCTTCCGTTCCACATCCCTCTCTGTCTCCCTCTCCCTGTCTGTCTCAGCCTCTGCCTCGGGCCGCCATGTGTGGCGCTGAGCGACTCTGCCGTGCCTTGCGCGCGGCGTTGCGTGTGTCGTGCGTGGCATGGCCGCGAGCACGGCTCCGCCAGTTGCCAACGTTGCTGTTCCGTCGCCTTGTCTGGATTATGCGTCGGTTTCTGCTTCGGCTTCTGCTTCGCCTGCTGCTTCGGCTTCTGTGTGCGACGCCGCTGCTCACACGTACAACGCTGGTTCTGCACTACCAGTTGATCGAATGGGAAAATATTTACCATAGCTACCGGACGTAGTAATAGAATCATATAAGTCGCGTGACAACGCCGATGTGTCTGCGAGATAGTAGCCTTTTAAACTCGCTCGTCGCAGTCATTGTTAGTCCTACATCGAGTCGAACGGCGGAAGCTGCAATGCCTTTCTGACTTGGTGATTGGTTTTTACGCCAGCCATAACAGGATTTTACGGTTTCCTGCTAGCGCGACTCACGGAGCTCGCCGGTTGAGTGCACCGCTTCGTTTCGTCGTCTAGGGCATTCGTGGGACCTGTCTTGACGACAAGGGTGACCTCGAGAACCTCACGTGCTGTTCGTGCTGCCTTCGTGCTCCGATACTACTCGTACGCCAGCCATGCCAATTCTTTTTGCTGCTTCATTCTATCTGCTGCGCGTTTCTTTCTGCAACTAACGTTCTTCTGCTGCTCACTACTAACTGCTACCTGCCCTCACCCAACAAGAACGCACTACGGAATGGAGGAACTGATACCAAGCGCGACCCGATGCCACCGCATATGCCACTCTGAGGGCGTGTCACCAGAAATCGTCTTGGCAAAATACCATACTAAACCGCTCAATAACTTTATTTGAACGTTTCAGAACGCAAAATATATTTGCAAACCGCAATCGGACGTACTTTAGTGACACGCCTTGAGAGCATTTCGGTGAGTGCAGCCCTTGGAATTGCAGATCACGTTGCTGGATTGAGTTGGAGCGAGTGGCACGTCAGCAGCGCCTCTCGAAGTGGCGAAGACGGGCAGCTAAATCGCAGTGACGTGAACGAGGTTCGCCGTGGGGTGACCTCACCGTTAGCACCAATCAGTTCCGACCGTTTCACTTATCGTGCAGGTTTAGTTACCAGTATAATTTCCCACGTCGGTGGAAGCGAGCCCCATGTAATGAAAAATGCGGCGCGCAGTTGTACGGCTTTGGGAGAGATTGTTAGCAGCCTTAGAAAACAGTATATCTCAAACATAAAACATAATGCATGACGCCATCCACCCCAATGGGATGCAATTGACAATCTATAGCTCTCCACTGTCACGACGCAGAATCTCCTATCCTTTTCAGCTCTGATATGGTTGCCAGAATCACCTTCCTGTCACCAAGGCTCTTCACCCCTAAATCGTCCCGCAACTCAGAAGCCGTCAAGTAAAGCAGTACCTACAAGACACAAGCAACAAAGTCAGCATGATTCCATAATAGCCTGATCAATGACTGTACGACTTGATATATAATGAAACTATCTTGGTAGCAACCACTCACCCCACCAGAGACCCGTTGCTCCTTGAAAGTGTCCACGTACGCACCAAAGCCTTGCAGTTCAAGCCAGGAGGCCACCTGGTCCACAGACCAGGCAGATGGATCCCCTGCCAAATTCAACCACGGGCACAGTGCAACACGCAAAGAGGCTGAAGGATAGGAGGACAAGGGGAAACATATACCTCGCATGGTACAAGCTGTTGTCATGGCTGAAGTTTAATATAAACAACAAAGCTACCAATGGCACACAGTGATCTCATGTTGTGCACAGGCACCTTAAGCCCATTCAACAGCAAGCACAAACACTCACCCATCTTCCGCATACTCTTCTCAATCAGCTGCTCATCGAAACTCTTCAGCCGCTTCCGTTCCTCCTCCTCCAGCCACGCCCCAGTTCCACTGCCACTCCCCGCGCTACTCCCCTTCTTGCTGCCTCCACGCTCATTACGCGCAAAGACATTCGTTTTCTCATCGTCCCTATCCTCCTCGTCCTCATTGCACTCAACGTAGTCCACCCACTTCTTCCACTCCTTATCCTTGCTAAACGTAGAATCAAACCACCCTCTCATTCCAAGCTTATCGAGCGCCTTGCTCATCTTCTCGCGCTCCTTAGGGCTCAACTCAAGGTAATCCATCATCTCTCGCTCAAAGTCACTGCTGCGCTTCCCCCTCTTCCCCCGTTTCCCGCCGCTGCTGCCTTTCCCACCGCTGCTAGATTTCGTCCCGCGCCTCAACAGTGTAAGGGACAATACCGCTCCTACGGTTGCGACCAGGGCGAAAACAGCCCCTGCGGTCCCGACCGCTGCTGCTATCCCGACCTGCAGCGCTGGGATGAAGAGCGGGAGCGTGAACAGCAAAACGAAGAGCGCAATAGGGAGGAAGACGGAAACCGCGACCAGCGCGAAGATCACTGCGACGACCGCCTTGATTGCGAACGCGACCGTGAACACAGCGGCAAACGCGGCGACGAGTGCGGCGACCACGGGAGAGACGACCCAGAGGAACGCGCGGGGCTGGCCAAGGGGAACCGCCGAGGGTGATTCTCGGGCCGAGTTCTGGGAGAAAGTAGTCTGCTGATCGTGCGCGCGGTTGCGGAACTGGGTGGTAAGATCGCTAGTGGTAAGCGCGGAGGCGAGACCACGCGCAGGTGGCAAGCGCGGCGAGGCGTTACTAATGGAAGCTTTCCGCCATGATGCCGTTGCGGAATTTGCCTGATGGTGACGGTTGGAGGAGGAGGGGAAGGAGGAGGAAGGGAGGGAGGTGCGTGACGCGCGGCGCCACGCGCTAGGGGACGAGCCGCTCGCGCTCGTAATCAGACAATCGTACCGTGGAATGCGGGCTACTATCGCCGGTTTTACTGAAACCGTTCGTACAAGGGGCTGGGCTCCGACCATGATTGCGCCTGCGAGCACGCCCATCGGAGCGGCACGTCTCAGGTCCAACACCGATAGATTCTGACCGGCGTCACGGGCACTAAGATTAAGTCGTATGGTGAAATTGCTGGGAGCGATAGCAGAGCACGAGTACAGTCACTGCAGGTGCTACTACCTGTCGGCGATCTCAGGGGATTAGGGGTGCGCATATATACTACTACTACTACCAACAGTACTAGTATTAACGCCTGGGGGAGCGCAACGCTTAACGACCGCGTTCACGTCCGCGGCGCCTCGCAACGGTGGCCTGACCGGGAACGAGGCAGATGCCGCTGCAGACCTCAGGTAGGATCGGATTCGGAACTTGCGGAACTGGGGACTGGAATTCTTGAACGAGCTCAGCCTGAGAAGAGCAGTCAAAAGTGGGTCACTGGCTGAAGCATGGGGAGCTTCTCATAAGCGACTGGCCGGGCAAAATAGGCGATAAAATAAGGATACGAGGGTGATGTCATGTGACGTGCGCGGCCCGTGCGGGCTGAGCTGAGGCCGGTCGTATCTAAGGTGTTGGTTGGACGTAAGTCAGATCATATGACAGCGGCTGATGTGGTTGGGTGGGGTGTCTAATGGAGAAATGGCAGAGTTGCTTGGAGCACAAGCAACCAAGGTGAGGGGAGGGGGGGGAGTCGTAACGCGATATAGAGGGGCTTTGGGAAAACCTGCTTTGACCTTGAATGGATGACATCGTCCATTAATGGAACCACTCGTTTTTTTCTGCTTAATCATATTGATATTGTGTGCGCCAATGACACTAAGCAGCCAAATGTAATATAGGCAAACGTTAGTGTATTTATGAGCGCAACCTGTAATATATTACTAATTAGTGGATTGCATATGGTGTCCGAACCTGTGACTGGTCTGTAGTCATGGCACTCATGCGCCACCCACAATCCCCTCACTGGCCTGCCTTGCTGGTGCAGTTGCTCGAAGCCGTGCAATCAGCCTCCTAGCAGCTGGGGAAGGGAGCATGCCAGCGTGGGCGTGAGGGGGGGGTGCAGAACAAGAAGAGGAAGAGGACGAGGAGGTGAGGGAGGAGCGAAACAAGTTGCGAGGAGGAGGGGGGTGAGGCTTCAGATGGTGAGGGAAATCAACAGAGGGCGATGGGGAGAGAGAGGGGGAGGGGGGCGAGGCAGAGGAGGGTTGCAAGGAGGAGGAGAAGGAGCGTCCAGAGGCAGGAGGGTGAATGTTGAAACACCCAGATGGGGTGGAGTAGGAGTCATGGAGTGTGGTCAGTGGTTGATGCTGCTGCTGCTGCTGCTGCTGCTGGTCGCTCCTACTCCAGGCAATAGTGTTGCTGCATCTTCGGCCTCGGTTGAGAGCATTGGAGCAACTCTCATTAGTGTCACTGCAGTACCTGTAAGCATCAGGAGGAGGCATGTCCATGAACCGCCTCACTTGCACAATGCTGCTGAACGACACGCGCCGTACAAGCTTCGGACCCGCAGCGTTCCTCTGACCGCAACAGGGCCGGCCCCGACTTAGGCATGAGTGTTTCGGACTCAGGCCCGGCCGAGGCTGACCCTGTGGTTCGGAAGAGCTCAGCTGGCCCTCCCTGAATTCAGGGATATCTCCGGGGATGGTTCCAGGGCTGCCGACTGGGCTTGTACCAGGGCTATTGGACTGGTTTCGGCGGAAGGATGGTTCGGAGTATTGACGGACAAACACAGGCCTGGGAGCCACAGTGATTGATGGTGAATGGTGGGTACAGGGAGAGTGCCTTGAAGTTAAGAAACCACGTGAGCGGCAACATATTTCATCGGAGGAGTGAAAAGACGCTTTCACAGCAGCAGAAGTTGAAGCAGAAGAGGGAGGAGAGGACGTCAACGAAGCAGCAGAGACCGCAGAGGAGGGAGGAGACGGGGTGAAAGGAGGAGAGGACGTCAACGAAGCAGCAGATACGGCAGAGGAGGGAGGAGACGGGGTGAAAGGAGGAGAGGAATCAGAGGAGGGAGCGGAGGAGTGAGGCGATTTGAGAGGGGGAGTGGGGCGGCGGAGAGGCAGGGAGGCACTGCGGGTGAATTGGTGGGAGACGAGGGGCGGGTGAGCGGAGCAAGGAGGGATGGGGCACCCGCTTGGCGGCATGACGCGCAGGTGACGATGGCGCTGCCGGCGGGGCTCACGCTGCTGCTGCTGCTGCTGCTGCTCATGCTCATGCTCATGCTTGCTTGCGTGATGCTGCGCCTCCTGCGCCGCGCTTGTCAATGCACCTGCTCCTGCTCCTGCTCCTCCTGAGGTAGCGGTCTTCCCTGGCGTTTCCTTCTCCATTTGAGGCGTCTCTAAAGCTGGGTGCGAGGCGGCATTATGGCAGCCCATAGAATGCAGCCCAGAGCGGAGGAAGGGCATCTGCCGCGTGGTAGCGACGCACTGTGGCGCCAAGGCCCGGCGGGGGGCCCTGTGCTTCTGCCCGCCGGCGGGAACTTGAGGGGTGTCGGCTGCGGCAGCAGCATTTATGACATGGTGACGACGACGCATCGGATGATTCGCCACATGATGCGCGTCACCGTCACCGTCACCGTCACCGTCATCATGATGGTGTAGATGACGCGTCGGCGCTGTCTTCATGGTATGCCGCGACGGAGATTATCAAGGGGTCGCGAGGAGATTAAGAGGCCGTGACGAGATTAAGAGGCCGTGATGAGAGTAAGGGGCCGCGAGATGCCGCGGCGATTTTGCCAGATAAGTGAAAGAGGAGTGGCGGAATTGTGGCGAAGAGCTGCAGCGCTTAGTAGTAGTAGTACGAAACGGGAAGGGGCGACGGGAGTCGAAACTCAGAGTTCTACTTCGACCTCCTGCAATCCCTGTTTCCTCCAGTCGACTCGACGAAGCTGCTCTGATCTGCTCGTTTCTCTCTCGTGACTCGTGAGGCCCGATTTTATCTCTGCTCTACGAGCAAACTCGCAACCACGGCTGGCACGGGCCGGTGAGGTGAAGCGGTCTGGGTGGGTGGGTGGGCTCACTGGGGAGTGACGAATTGCCGTTGGATTGGAGCTCCATTCCATTCCGAATGACCCCGAGGCTTGAAGAATAAGCCCGCCGGGTTGTGCTCTCATCCGAGTCACCTGGATGGAATGGGATGGACTGGAGTCACGACGGAATAGGGTTGTTCCATGCCAGTGGCAGTGGAGAAGCAGTGGAGTTACGCCACTGCACTGCCACAACGTGCACATACACGGCGATCATTCCCGCAGCCAAAGCTGCGGCGATAAATCGATGGGTCGATGGAGCCGCGACGAGAGGGCCAAGCTGCAGTAGCACAGTACTGCTGCTGCTGGTACAGTAGTCGCACTACAGTACTAGTTATAGCTTCGCGGTCCGGTTCGTGTGTAAGTTACACACGTGGCGGAACATGCACGTTTCGAGATGGGATGGACACCGTGTGTATACCTACGACTCCGAGTCGTAGGATACGACGATCGCGCTCGCGAATCACCGCGCAGCGCGGCGTCCAAGCACAAGAGAGCCTCTCCACGTTGCGATTTTCGTCGTTACCCGCGAGCGGCGACGTATGAGCCGCGGGTGGCGAGTGGTGAGTGGTGAGTGGTCCTGAGCGGTTGAGTCTTCAGTCCTCCTAGCTCCTCCTGACTGCTAGCTCACCCACTCGGTGAGAGAGCGCCTCTGCGAGCATCTCCCACCTGAGCCATAACGGGGACGTCACCGTGCCACGCACGCTGACACGACCAGTGTGTGAAGGTCGCACTGAGTCGTGCCACTCCCTCGCTCGCTCCATCCATCCTTCCAATTGGCAGTTCCGCCCGAGGCACGAACGAGCTGGAAGGACCCTCCCCCCCTCCCCTGTTCTGCACGTAAAGCGCTTCGTCCCTGTTCGAAGATGATAGGGTTGGTGCTTCCTCCTGATCAATGGCTGGGTGTGAGGCAAGAGCAAGCAACTGGTCCTGCTGATCGCGGTCTGAGCTGTCAGGAGTACTTATTACACGCCAGCCGTACTTCAACCGCTACCACCACCTTTGCTGACTAAGAAAAAGGCCAGCAGAATTGGTTGGCATTTGGAAATTCTGTGGCGCTCGGGCAGAAAAGCGGAATGGCGAACTGAACTCACTCCTCTGCTTAGCTGTACAGAGCCAGATCCCATGAAACGATCTGGTTGGCTACAATCGATGTGGCCACGAGAAAGGGCAGAGCAGAGGCGTAGCCGTTTAAGGAGAAAGCAGGGCTACATCCATGAGGGGAATGCCAGAGCTTCATCAGCCAAAGTGGCGATAAGGTAGAAGGGTATGTTACGAAAGAGTACCCTAACTTTCCTGGTTCGGGGCCATAAAAGCCCGATTGTGTAGCGTGGCAAGTTTTTGAGGGGTGCAGGTGGAGGTGCGAGAGGGCGGGGTTCTGTTTGATGACAGTGCTTAATTCACTCCCAGCCCTGCTGCAGCAGGGCCAAACACGTGAATCTCAACACTCACACAAAGTTTGGACTGGGGGATGAGGCCTGGGGAGGCTGGAGACAATCGTGGGTCCCGTTCGAGCAGTTGTATTGAGGGAATACCGCTAGGGGCAAGGTATATTTGTTAGATGGAAAATGGCCAGGGGAACAGGAGAGCGATTTTTAAGTTTCATTTACGCAACAAGATTCTATGGGACCGGACTGCGACCTCCAAACTGCCGTGGGTGTTACATATCACCCCTAGTGTCATCAACTGGCCTGATAAAAACCCATGAAAATGCAAGGTCCGTTTGATAAATTTCACTAAAAACAGGGTAGATGCTCTGTTGCAGTTGGCCTTCCCCACAGCCACCACCAGCGGCAGAGCTCGTTGGAAATGGGTATGATTCTCCTCCTGCCTAGCTTTTCTCCGCCCCTCCCTGCTCCTCCTCACCTCGCATGGCAAGTGGAAGGCAAGGAAGATGGGCAAAGCAGCGTCGCAGGCATCGCTACAGTAAAAGCAACTTTGCTCCTTGCTTTGACATGCCACCAGGAAGTTGACATGGCAACAACTTGACATGCAAGCAGCTTTACAGGTCAGCAGATTGACAGGGCAGCAGCGGCGATCCTCCGATGCGTGGCAGCCGCCTGCGTGTCATCGCAAACACAATTCCGACAACGAGGGGGAAGACTGCTGCCAGCGAGGCGAGAAGAACAGAAGCTGCCCACTCCACACACCCGCAAGATAATTGCAACATCTCCTATACAAGAAATGCTCCAGCTGAAGTCTGAACGAGCTGTAAGTACAGTTAGGCAACAAATGAACTACATGGCATCATATAAGTTTGCTGGCCTAGCATCTAGATATTGGTCGATCCTAGGCCTAAGCAATCAACATGTACGGTATGCTCGCGGGATTAGTAAAGCTTTCGGTAACGCTTTGCCTCCTCTTCTTTCGCTAGACTGGGAGATCAAATGACGATTTTCAATCTTGTGAAATCAAAAGTGCATCAGAGCTAGTGCTTCAAAACTCTCATGTTCAGCAGCCCACCCAGACTAGCTAAAAGTAGTACCGCCGTGCAGAGGTGTTTTCAGTCAGAAATGCATGTCACCACCACCCCAGCCTCTCCCCTGTCAACAGCAGGTTGATGGCAACGACTTGAGCTCTTCATGAGATTGGGCGCCAAGGCTTCTCGCCTCGAGTCATCATCCAACGAAGGCATTGCATCGTCAATGCGGGTCACAAGACTACCAGACTCAGGACGCTCCTCATCATCCACCCCTACTCTCCCATGCCCCATGACTCCATTGTTTCCCTCCCCATGCGCACTTCTACCCCCCCAACTCCTCTCCTCAATACCCTCCACTTCCACCCCCTCATGCTCTTGTTCCTGCCTGACTCCTCTCCTCGCCTCTCTCTCCCCTCCTTCCTCCCTCTCCTCATCTCTCTCCTCCTCACTCTCCTCCTCCCTCTCGTCCTCCTCCCCCTCGTCCTCCTCCCCTTCGATCCTACTGTCCTCCACATCGCCATCCTGCTCCTCCTCTCCCCCTCTCTCCGTACCACTCTCATCGTCCTCCATCATCTCTACTGCATCAGACCCAAGCCGGTCGTACCCCCTGCTTCCACTCCTACCCCCCACCTCTCCCTCCTCCCGCTCCTCCCCCTCCTCATCCTGATCCCTGTTCCCCACTCGACTCCAGGCTCCCACTTTCCCAGTCCCCTCCTCCTCGCCCCCCTCGCTCCGAACAGCAGCAAAGGGATCACCAGAACCGTCCTCCCGGAATACACGGCCACTGCGTGCCTGCCGCCTCAGCCACGCGGGGTCAAAGCCCTGACGGCGCTCCGACATGCCCATGCCCATGCCCATACCCAAGTTATTCCCATCACTCGCCATTCCCCCTGTGCTCATGTGTGTTGCTCCTCTTGGTTGCAGCAGTCTCCGCCTCGCCCCCTGTCCAACTACCGCCTTGATCTGCTCTGCGAATGCAGCCTGCACAAACAAGGGGAAGGACGATTGGCGTGAGGGAGAAGAAGGGAGAGACGGAGGGGAAGAGGGCGAGGGAGGTGCATGCAGAGTGAGGATACCCAAGACACCCAGCCCTGGTTCCCTCCCTCCCCTCCCCAACCTCCCTATTCGCCCCCTGAACCGCTTGTCACCTTGTAGGATTCAGTATGCATGATCCATTTCCGAGTAACAATAGCAGCAAAAAAACACAGAGGTGCCTGGAGCTACACATTCGAGTTCATAAAACGTCAATCCTCATAGCTCGCATCTCACTCAATCTCCCTCCACCATCACCAACCCTCCCCAGCCCTAGCACCCCCACTCCCCAACCACTTCTCCCTCCCACGTCCCCCTCCCTGCCTCCATCCCTCAACCCGAAACCCTGCAGCAGATACCCTCCATCCGTCATCACACTTCTCTCCTCACATGGTGCAGCTGGCGTCGTCTGGCACACAGCCCAGCAGTGCCACATCGAGAAGCAGCAACGCCAGAAGCAGAATCTAGGCACTCGCAATCACAAGTATCAGCACTCAAACCCTTGACCCCGTCAAACCCACAAATCCCCCCCACCTGGTGTGCAGCTGGTACAGCTGCCGCGCATCGCATAGTCCAGCAGCTCCACATCCAGAGGCAGCAATGACAGGAGCACAATCTAGGCACTCACAACCACAAGTATCAGCACTTAAACCCTTGACGACCCCCTCAAACCCACGCGTCCCCCCCACCTGGTGCAGCTGGTACAGCTGGGCTAGCGCGCATAATCCAGCAGCTCCACATCTGAGCTTGCGAATGCTATTAGCCGACCCAATATACCCTCTTTCCCTTCCCCCTATATCCCGCCCCAAGCCGGCTCTCAAGCGCCCCCCCCTCAAAACCCCACCTGGTGCAGCTGGGCGGGCGAGCATAATCCAGCAGCTCCACGTCCAGGTAGTTGAGATTCCAAATGCCTCCAGAAGACTCTCTCTCACATGCCCTTCCTTCCCCCCCACCCCCCCCTCAAACCCCAACCACCCACCCCCCCACCTGGTGCAGCTGGTACAGCTGGCGTGAATAATCCAGCAGCTCCTCGTCCAGGTGGTTGAGCTCGCGAATGCGCGCCAGCGTGCTGCTCTTGATGCTCGCACGCTCCTGGGGGGAGTGTGGGGTGGGAGAGAACGACCGAGGGGAAAATTGGGGGGAAGCTTCGCATTGCAGGCCAGCGTGCCGCTCTTGATGCTCGCTCGCTCCTGGGAGGAGGGTGAATTGGAGGGTGCATGAGAGGGAGCACGATGACGATCAGAGCAAATAGAGGAGAGTGGCGGTTGAAAGAAGGGAAAAGAGTGGAAAAGCGGGGGGATGCTCTGGTATGTGCGCGCGCTAACGTGCTGCTCATGATGCTCGCACGGTCCTGAGATGAGGTGGGGCTGGAGAAAGGATGGGTGGGGAGTGGACACGTGGGAAGGCCTGCGTGGGAGGACGAACGTGGGAGGGGGATTAGAAAAGGGACTTGAGAAACTAATGTCAGGAGGCGGTGGCAAAAGGGGGGAGCGAAAGGGGGGAGCGAAAGGGAGAACGTGAGGGGGTGGAGCTGGCATCATGGGAGAAATTTACCGGGCCCAGCAGAGCAAGCCACGGCCTGCGTGCGCCCTTTCCTGAGGCACCTCGAGAGAAGCTGTGAGGGTAGCAAGGGATGGGGGACGGTGGAGCTGACATCATGGGAGAAGCTGACAGGGCCCAGAAGAGCAACGGCCTGCGTGCACCCTTTCTGCGGCACCTCAAGAGAAGCAGTGAGGGCGGTAGGGGATGGATGCTGGTGGTGGAGCTCACCTCATGGGAGAAGTTGACCGGGCCCAGCAGAGCAACGGCCTGCGCACGCCTGGCCTTGTACTTGTCCTGCTGCATCTTCACACAGCGGTTGTAGTTCTGCCACAGAGACAGCGCGAACTGTCAGAGGAGAGGGGGTTGGGGCGGGGGAAAGGAGGTACAGGAAGGGGATGGAGAAAGGGAGATGGGCGAGAGGGTACGCTACTGGCTAACCTTGTACCCGTCCTGCTGCATCTTCACACAGCGGTTGTAGTTCAGACCACAGAGACCCTGCGAACTGGAGGAGAGAGAGGCAGGAGGATGCGGGGGGAAACGGGGTGCAGGAAGGACGGGCTGCTTGAGTCAACTCAGAAGCCATCATTCGTAACCAGCATAATTGCTTTGGGCCCCTCCCCCCCGGGCACCTGGTTTTGTACTTGTCTGGCTGTGCTGCGTCTGCACACAGCGGTTGGGGTTCTTCCCACAGAGCACCGCCGGCTGCTTGTGCACCTCGTGTTGTAGGTGTGCTTACTAGGAAACGTCTACAGAACCAACTGTTAGAGATAGGCTGCAATTCGGTTGGCACAACTTTGCGTTGGCAATTTGTTGGTTTTAGGGATACGCATATTTGCTAGGTTGGGTGTAGCTATGTTTTCATCCCCAACCTATCCCAACCCAATCCATCCCAAATCCTCACGATTTGGGAGGATTCCCTTGGGATTACCTCCGATTCTCCCTTATCCCTTCCCATCCTCTCCGATGCTTGGTACTTAAGGATGTATGCTCTTGCTCATTATATCAATGAAGTTCTCAGTTTCTGATACCAACAGCCTCGTACCGCAGACTGCTTTTGAGCGGTGTGTGCAGCGGAGTGCATGGAGCGGCCGATGGTGGCAGCAAAGAGCACTGCTGACTGCTCGTGCACCTCCGTGAGCCCCACATGCAGCATAGCTGCCAGACGCGCCTGGGGATTTGGGGGACGGCGGGGATGGGGAGGATGGGGAGGATGGGGAGGATGGGGAGGACGCATATCACACCCTCTCAGACCATCACACCGCCTCTCCATGAAGGCCCGGCAATGAACATGCCCCAGCCTGCCTTCCTACCTCGCCTACCTTCCCTCTCCTTCTTCCCCTATCCCTCTCTGCCGTATTTGAGCCGACCCGCCTCAGCAGCCAAGCCTGCCTTCCTCGCCCTAACTTAACTTCCCTCTCTTTCTTTATCTATTCGTCCTTGCTGCACTCCACCTTTCCTTCCATTCCTCCAATCCGCTCCCTTTCAATAGCAAAAAACGCATTCTACAGCCAAACCCCATTCCACACTCCATCCTCCCTCTGCCCAAGCAAAAAAAAAAAACCCCTACCCCTTTCTTCCCCGAGATAACCCCCAATCTAACTCTCCCGAAACCCCACCTCGCCCCCTCACCACAACCACCCCCTTCCCCCCCCCATCCACCCGACCTTCTCCCCACCCCCTTCCCCCTCCTTGCTCAAGCCCCACCTTTGCCAGGTCCAGAATGCGTTCGCCCGAGTCCCTGTAGGCCTGCGCACAGCGGCGCAGCATGCGGGCGTTGGGCAGCAGGGAGTTCTGCGTTATGCCTGCCACCTGTGGTGCGGCAGTGGGTTGACAGCGGGAGAGGGGGGAGAGCATGGGAAGGTACGGTGGTGCATATGAGGGAATGCCAACAGCTGGCATACCGTGCGGCCGTTGGGCAGCAGGGAGTTCTACGTTATGCCTGCCACCTGCGGTACGGTGCGGTGGGGGGCGGGGAAGGGGTTGGCTGAAATGGTATGGACGGGTGTGGTTGGCAGGGGATGGGAGGAAAGGATGCGACTCAGCGCATGGGAGAAAAGCTGCCCGTGAGAGCAGCCAGCAGTTCTGCGTTATGCCGGCTACCTGTGGTAGACAGCGGGGTGCTGCAGATACTCGTCCAGAGGCATCACCAGGTGGGGCCTCCCCTCCACCGCTCCATGGCTCCACAGACCAACACCTTGCCACTCTCGCTCCCTCCCTGCTCTCTCTCTGCCCCCCTGCTGCTCTCACTCTTGTCCCTCACTCACTCTGCCTCGCACACAAATACACACACACTTCCTCCCCTCCCCCCCCCCACCTGGAACGTGGCGCCGTTGTGCAGCAGGTCCATGACAGCAGGGTGCTGCACGTACTCGTCCAGAGGCATCACCAGGTGGCTCTTCTCATACGAGTTCTGCCCCGCACTGCCAGGGGGGTCCGCGGGGATCTCCAGCGTGGGGCGCTGGTGAAGGGAACAAGAAGGTGAGGCGACGGGGAGAGGGGGCGAGGGGGGGAGGGGGCAAGGGGGAGAGGGGGAGAGGGGGGGAGGGGGCACGGGGAAGAGGGGGCAAGGGGAGAGCAGAGGGTGGAAGAGGGGTGGGGACGGGCCAAAGGGATCACCTGCTTCTCTTATGTGTTCCTTCCACCCCGCATTGCTGGGGGAATTCAGGGAGGGGGGTTCCTAGTGCAGGGTACTGGCGAGAGGGCGGAAAACGGATGAGAGGGGATGAAGCGGGGCGGAAGACGGGTTGGGAGAGGATACAGTCAACCCCAGACGGCCCGTCCACCCCAGACAGCCCTTCATGCCCATCCAGAGATCGTCCTCCATGAGCGGGAAGAGCATGCTCCACGCCACGCGACCACACCCTCCTCGTCTCCACCTTCCTTACTCTCCTTGCTCTAAGCCCCAGCACTCAGGTGATTCTAAAGTCGCCTCAAAGCTCTCCCTCTCACCAACCTACTGCACTCAACCCCACCCGAACACCACACTTACAACCCCCCTTTCTCCCTTCCAATCCCCCATCACTGCGCACTCACGCGCATCCAGAGGTCGTCCTCCATGAGGGGGATGAGCATGCTCCACGGCCACACCCTCCTCGTCTCCGCCTTCCTCACTTTCGACACGCGCTGCCGCTGCCGCCTCCTAATCTTCATCAGATTCTGCCCGGGGTTGAGTCCCGGCACCCAGCGCAGCGAGCGCGCGGCCGTCTCGAGGGTGAACTCGTAGGAGCTGAGGAGGCGGTCCACGGGGTGGCGGATGTTGGTGATGATGCTCGTGCTCGCGGCGGGCAGGCGCGACATGAGCGAGTAGTCGTTGTGCGTCGACAGCAGGCGGCACTCGGGGTTGCTGGGGGGGGGAGATGAGTGGGCGGGGGGTGAGGGAAGGGAGCAGGAAGAGAGAGGGACGTGAGTAGTCATTGTGCATCGAGAGCAGGCAGCCCTCGGGGATGCTGAGGGGGAAGAGAGGGGAGGAAAGGTGGGGGGGGGGGGAGTTGGCGGGAAACAAGACGAGGGGTGGAGAGCTAGGGAAGAGACGTGTAGTCATTGCGCGTTGAGAGCAGGTGGCACTCGGGGATGCTGTGGGGGGGAGGAAGGGGAGGGTTGGGGTGGGGGAGGGGAGGGGAAGGGGATAGGGAACATTCCGCTTCCACTATGGGAGCACATTGCGGTGGGTTAATGGGTATCAGCACCACGACCACACAATGTAGCAACCATCGACTCTCATTGGGCAAGCATGCACCCTCACACACACGCACACGCACGCACATGCACATGCACATGCACATGTAACACCGCCAACTCACGAGGGGTCGAGTCGCAAGGTGTCGTACGAGCGAGGGCAGCGCAGGTTGAGTGGGTACAATGGCTTGAGGAAGCTGCCAGGAAACATAACACAGCATCATACACAAAGAACATCGGCTGCGTACAAAGCAACGCGGCTGAGTGTCGCATGTCAAGCGGAATCCGGAACTAACTAACAACCTCAACACTGAGCAAACCGGAGTGCACACCCTGCAAGAAGGAATCGTAGGCACAAAACCTCAACCTGGCACCCAACCCAAAGGCAGCCTGCTTTCCAATGGTGCCTACGTCACCCACTAGGGTCTCCCCGTCTCACCACCGGTGGTACCTTCTGCATTTCGATTTCGTGCACGGGATATGCAGGAAGAACAGCAGCGGCTGAGTGAACGGGTGCATGGTGGCGAAAACATTGAGCGGGTGTATCTTGAGTCGACTCAACAAAGCTCACCACAGGTGGTATGTCCTGCCTCCCGTGCGCGGAATATGCAGGAAGAACAGCAGCGGCTGGATACGCGGCTGCATGGAGGCCGAGAGATTAAGGGGCTGAGGTCCCTGCGCCAGCTGTTCCTCCACATACGCGTTCACCGCCGCCCGGCACCCCTCCTCTGAAATTGGCTCCTCCTCGGCATACCCCGACAGGTGTGGGATGAATTCCCCCTCTGCTGTGAACATGTGCTCGCCCCTCCACTCGCCGTCGTCCTCCTCGTGCTTTGGGTGGTCGGGATCGTGCTGCTGCGGGTGGGTGGGAGTACTCCCGTCGCCGCTGTAACCGCTGCTGCTGCCGCCGTTACCGCTGAAGCCACCGCCGCCACTGCTGCTGCCGCTGCCCTCGCTGCTGCTGCTGCTGCCGCCGGTGAAAGGACCTTCTCCCCCGCCGTCTTCTCCGTCCCCATCCCTGGGGCGGAAGTTGAGGCTGTAGGGGTTGTCAGTGTAGTGCTGGGTGCTGGAACGCTGGGGTTCCTGCGCCTGCTGCTCCTCCTGCTGCTGGGAAGGCCGGACTGTGAGGTGAGAAGAGAGAGGAAAGGAGTAAAGAGAGAGATGGATGTGGAAGAAAGGTGAAGGGGATTGGGAGTACTGAGGTATGGGGCGCCAAAAGCGTGTGATCAAGAGAGCAAATGAAGAGAGAGAGGTGGAATATCCAAACAAACAGCTGAGATTCGGCCACGTCGGCTCTAGCGATGCATAGAGCGAGATACCTGAGAGAGTGAAATACCTGAGAGAGTTAGTAGCAGCAGCACAGCCAACAAGACAGCCAGCGACAGAATCGGACGGTACGGCATGGCGTGCAGGTGCCTTTCCAGGGTATCAGTAGAGCCCGTGCCAGCTAGACCTGCTACACTCGCTCGATTCGCCCGACTCGCTAAACTCGCTAGTCCCGAGAATGGCCCGAAGCTATCGAGCCTTGGATTGCGGGCGATCGAGGCCGGAAGCAGGCGCTGGGGAGGGCATGGACGGGCTGGTAATGGAATCGACGGTTGATCCGAATGATTTGGTTCGGCGACGACGATGGACGGTTCCGATGACGGCGCGTGACTGCGGCTGGTGACTGGCCGACGAGACCCAACGCCGACGAATTTGACGGAAGTCGATAATGAATCCGTCGATAGGACGTCAAAACTCAACAAGTGGAGTATTTTCCGAGGGTCATATGAATCTAAGGTACGAAACCATCCAGCTGGAAAAGCTTAGGTTGCTAGAGTGCTAGAACCAAGTGGCCAGTTCAAGGTCCGATCGCGAACCTTGTCTTACTGCAAGCTACTGATACGCGTGGTGCCATGATTTGCTTCTCAGAACGCAGTTTACCGTCTGCTCGCTGGTCACCCCTAGTCAAGCTGTACATCCTGCATGAAAACTAACTTGGTCAGGCACGCTGGCTGTGTCAGTAGGGGAGAATGTGTAGTGGGCCATTTGCAGGGACTGACACGTGGTCTCACGCCGGGAGTTCTACAACCGAGGCGAAGTCCACCAGAGAACGATTGAGACCCACGGCTACAGCTGCGGTGGAAGTCAGTCAACCTAGATACTGCCATAACTTCATTAAGCATTTATCAAATTAAAACCATTCATAGTCATCTTGCCTTTCAAACATGCATGGTGAACGAATTATATGTGAAATATTGTTTTTCCACATCAGCACTAGGCTTATACATCGCCGTAAAATATTACACCACTATTTGTTACCATATAATCATAATTAACCGATATTGATGAATGATATCGGATATGTGGACAGTATTTTAAATAAGTCGAATAAAAAAGAAATATTCTGATGACCATTCTGTGAACTATTTGACAAGCTCAAGTAGTTTATGTAGCCTTCATCAGACTGCACTGCCAGAGAGTGAAGCAGCAACAGATATCCAGTGTTCCAACACTGCGTTCTGCCAGAAGCGCGTATTTCTCACAATTATTGTAGCCTCTCGCTTCGGTGGGGGCCGACTGTTGAGTTGACAATAATTGCGGCGCGAGAGCAGGGAGACAGGCAGGCAAGCAGGGGGGCGCGAAAGGGAGGGGAGGGGAGGGGAGGGAGGTGATTTTCGCTCCAGCGTCGGTAGAATTGAACGACGTACCCATATGCGCGCTCACCCAAGAGTCAGGGCTCCCAAGCTGCTATATAACAGGCTTCGTGGCAGGTAGTACGAACAAGCACTACTACCCAGCACAGCTAGCAATTGCAAGCATCGCAAGAACAGCACGCAAACACCTTCTAATTCGCTCGACTTATAGCAGCTGCATCGTCGGCAGGACGAAGCAACCGTTGTGGACACTCTGGAGTAACAGAGCGGCAAGAGCCCTCCACGAGTCCTCTGTCCAGCTGACTGGTTCCGCGCGGTAAACTGCACGCGGGAGTGCGCTCCGTACGCTTGAGCCAATTTTTTACGATTCCTCGGAACGGCCTTATCGGGTTTCATGGCGAAATCGACCTTAGCGTTTGCATTGGCGGCTGTCCTCGGTGTCGCCTTTTTGGCGGGTAAGTGTGTTCGTTCTTCTGGAATGAGCAATCGAGTCCGGTGTGAAGGACGCTTAGAAATCGCATAAATCACGAAACGATCGGTCCGTTACACATGGCACAACGTGACATAAGACGGCATCCCTTTCTTGATGACAGGTTCGGCGCTTGGGGCGGCAACGGTGCCAAACGGCAAGCCGTGCTACCTGACGTCAGCGTACAAACCAGTCAAGCCGTGCGCTGGCGGCCCTGCCACGTGAGTAGTACCGTAATCGTTCTTGGGATTGACGAGAGGACACATGGAGAGAGTGACTGTCGAAGCGTGTTGTGCCGAGGCCTTGGGAGGCATAAATGCGTGAACACTCTGAACTGGATATTCACTGCACTCGTGCTGCTGCTGCCCTGTGCCCCCCGCTTGTGCCCACCGGCGGCCCATAGTTGCGTCGTGAAGAATATCCCTCCGTCCGGCGCTAGGGACACTCGCATATCGGGAATCTGCAACAGCACCTACTACAGTAAGCTCGCAGCCATCGCATCGTTCGCAACTACAAATCCTCTCCGTCATTGGCTCCTCGTCCAATGCCTCCTCTTGCGTTCTTGCTTGCTCTGCGCCAGCAACGGCACTGCAACGTGGGTCGTTTTTCTCGTCGAGGGTCACAGACATGACATGCGTTCCAAGCCTAATTTGTTTCCTTTCCATGCGCGGGTCTGATTCCCCTTTCCCAACGCCGTTCCAGACGGTCCCTACTGCGCGTTCGCGTCGCAGCCATACGCCGTGGGCACGAGCAACATCCCGGGGAACCCCAACTGCCCGCGCTGCACCTGCACGCTGCAGAAAGGCGGCAGCACTACCACTACCACCACCGCCGCTGGTGCTACTAAACGCGTGTTCGCTCAAACGGCTTCGTCGTCGCGCAAGCCTGCTGGTTCCATCAAGGCCAAATCGACGGCCACCTGCGTGTGCAACAGCGGCGCCACTGTCAGCGGCATCGGCGGCGGAGGAACCCCCTGCAAGATCGGCTTGGATGGGAAGCTCGTGGCAGGCTCGTCGTGCCCTGTGACGCAGTCGTCGTGAGTGTTGTCCTCTCCCTCTTCCCGCTCATTCCTCTCTTTGTCTCTCTCGCTCTCTCTCTTTTACCTCCCTTTGTTTCTCACTCTCCCGTCTTAATTTCCCCCGCCTCCCGCATACATACATAGACTAGGCGTGACTGCGCCACACTTCACATCTCCCCTCACTGCGTTCCGTTGCTGTGTTGGCTCCAGGTGCTTTATCAACAAGGTGGGGATCAACGGAGCTGACTCTGGAGAATGCACAGCGCCCCAGTCGAGTAAGCTTCCAACACAAGCCACAGACCCCTCATTCAGAGAAGCTCAAGAAATAAAGCGTTCTCACAGTTTACCACCGAACTTCCACATTTACCATTTCTGCGCTCATCATCTTTCCGTCCTTCCGGTCTCTTCACCCTGATCCTTCATCTTCCCTCCCGCCTCGCGTCTTTCCCCCCCGGCAGTTTCCCCGATGGCGTGCAGCTCTGCGGGCGAGACGTGGGGTATGCGCTACTATGCGGTGGGCACCATCGACATTCCCGAGCCCGGCAACTGGTGCTCGCGCTGCAAATGCGGCCCCTCGGGCCTCACGGAATGCAAGCCCAAGTCTCCGTGCACACCACCCAAGTAGACGAGCTACAAGTGAACGGAACGGTGGCAGCGGGACAGCAGAACGGACTGTGTCCCAGAAATGCCGCCGCAGATTTCCTCTTTGCTGTGTCTTTACCATGCTCCTCAGCTTCACTAATAAGCGCACTCGCGCGAAGAGTTGTCCTAACCATTCTCACAATCAGAACGTGTTCAAATTATTCTATATACAGACCCCATGGCGGGATAGGCATGAGCCACGCGTGTAGAGGACATATGAGTACAGAGAGCCTATTGCACAGCGAAATCCGAGGTGCAGAAGTGCGGATGCTCGGAGTGTCCTACTAGCCGCGGTCACTAGGCAGTCTCTCCGTGTCCTCCGGAATGCCCGTCGGCGCATCGCCTGGCTGCGGCACGTTCTGCGCCATGTCTTCGCTCCACTCCCCCGCTCCCTCTTGCTCCAACGACTCCTCCTCTGCTCCCCAAAAACACGCGCCGAGCACCACCAGAACACGCGCAAGGGAACACGAAACACAGATTTCAGATGCAGCAATCGTACAGAGACAAGTTAGGATGTAAGCAGAATGCACTGAGCAACCAGAATTCAAGCTAATAATGACCCAATCCTCGTTATCCCACACACTTGCGGAACGTACCTTCAATCTTAACCCTACTGGAATGTACCTTCAATCTCTTTCTCCGTCAACTCGGGCTCATTCTCCCCCGGTGCGTCCTCTCCCCCCTTCCCTTCCTCCGGGCCTGGCGCGTCCACAATAGCCGTCTCGGGATCCTTTTTCGCCGTTTTGGGATAGTCGTACTCGGGCCCTGTGCCGATCCCCGTGTCCTCCTGGCCGCCCTCCGACGCGAACAGAGCTTCCTGCGAACAGACAGCCCGGCGACGTGTGCAGAGTCAGGGGGGTGATAAAACCGTAAGAACGAAATGGAGTTAATACGTGGATGCTAACATCGAGAATTACGTGTGTTCCAAATTGGACAGCGAAGACAAGGAAGCTGCACGAGATAGAAAACCCAACGAAAGACTTGCCTCGTCTTTTGAGAGATTGGATTGTGCCATCGGTAAAGCGGCTGTACACGAGCAAGGGAGGGGGCACGTCGAAAACTGCAGAGGCGGATGCCGCAGGCTGTTGAAATGGCGATTAGCGCGGGAAGAACCAGATGCAGGAGATATCATTGACGGGCTGAAGATGATGAAAATGACCACTTGGCGAAGGAAGAAATCCCAGGCAAGAATTCCCTCCCTCATTCCTGTGGTTTCCCTCTCCGCGTGGCTGGTGGGGAAAGGTGAAGAGGAACACCCGAGTCGCGTGCTCGAAATGCGATTTCTGGATGTGGAACTGCACGGGTAGGAGGGGCATGCTCAAGTGCAAAGCACATGCCTGCCACGTGTTCTTCTCCTTGTGCGCCAGGTGGTATGGGAGCAGTTTTTGGTGCCAGCACTGTAGCCGTAACACCTCGCATAATCAGGGTGTAGTTTGTGTTACACAACAGAGAAGTGTAGCGCTGTCGAAAAGGCAGACGACCCACGTCAGTGTGGAACCACGTCGCGAAGCGGATGAATCGTAACGTGGTGCTTCGCATAAGTCGCTGCGCATCGATGCACTCTCCATGCGCGCTTCCCCATTGTCGCATTTCGCCAAATGGTGAAATAGGAGAAATCTAGGAAGGCTCTCACAACTCCCTCTATACCATGGAAGAGCCAAAACCAAGCTGGTTGGAGGTTGAGTTGAGTTGCTGTTTCATGAGCTTAAAAAACCCCCTCCAAGGTTTTCTAGCTTCGATGACGGCGGCGATTCCATCTCACATCTCGTCTCAGGCTCTAGTCGTGGCTCAACTCTGCATCGGATGAGCCTTAAAACCATGTTCCGTCACCGACTCACATCCGTGTCTGATACTTGCACCGCCTTGCTCCAGTGTAACGAGCAGAACTCTTCTCCCAGCTGAATTTTATCTGCCATCCACAGCAGCCGCCATTCTGGGTTGTGGTGCCTCACCATGGACGATCCAAGGTAGAACCTGACTCTATTTACACGTCAAGACCAGTCAAGTCATACTCACATGGCCTGTCTTTCGTAGTTGGCATTGTTACTCTGGTTCAGATGTAGGCTACGGGTAGATACCAAGTACAGCCATTGGCACATCATCAACACGCAGTCATCTGTTAGTGCCTGTTAATCGTCTTCCCCACTCCCTGTTCCTCGATGCGTTCCATCTTTATCCCCGGATCCGAATAACCATGCTGATACGGTAGTAGCACCCCTCCCGCATGTTCATCGCATACAGATGGCTCACTGAAACTGGCTGTTATGCAGCTAATATGCCACACGATACATGCCTTGCTGGCCTTCCATCCATCCGACTGACTCACCCTTGCCTTCTTTCCCTGCCCCCTTGCTTCCTTGCCCCCCCCCCCCCCCCCCCCCTTCATCTCTCTGTCTCTCCTGTTTTTCCTCACAGCCGTCTCAAGCTACGATCCGAACCCTACTCGTTCGCCCTCCGCGTTCGGCTGCCTCGCACGGCCATCCCAGGCGCTGCGCGGCAAGCGGTGCGCGTGCTCTTCTACACGTGGCTCGTCACTGCGATCGCCCTCGCGCACCTCGGCCACGCCTTCCTGCCGCGCTCCCTGGCCCGCCTCATCCAGTTCCTCCTCACTCTCGTCACCGCCCCCTCTGCTGCTGTGAGCTCCCTCTGCTGCTGTGAGCCCCCACTGCTGCTGTGAGCCCCCTCTGCTGCTGTGAGCCCCTCTGCTGCTATGAGCCCCTCTGCCGCTGTGAGTCTCTCTGCTGCTGTGAGCCCCTCTGCCGCTGTGAGTCCCTCTGCCGCTGTGAGTCCCTCTGCCGCTGTGAGTCCCTCTGCTGCTGTGAGTCCCTCTGCTGCTGTGAGCCCCTCTGCTGCTGTGAGCCCCTCTGCTGCTGTGAGCCCCTCTGCCGCTGTGAGCCCCTCTGCCGCTGTGAGTCCCTCTGCCGCTGTGAGTCCCTCTGCCGCTGTGAGTCCCTCTGCTACTGTGAGTCCCTCTGCTGCTGTGAGCCCCTCTGCTGCTGTGAGCCCCTCAGCTGCTGTGAGCCCCTCTGCCGCTGTGAGCCCCTCTGCCGCTGTGAGTCCCTCTGCTGCTGTGAGCCCCCACTGCTGCTGTGAGCCCCCTCTGCTGCTGTGAGTCCCTCTGCTGCTGTGAGCCCCTCTGCTGCTGTGAGCCCCTCTGCTGCTATGAGCCCCTCTGCTGCTGTGAGCCCCTCTGCCGCTGTGAGCCCCTCTGCCGCTGTGAGTCCCTCTGCCGCTGTGAGTCCCTCTGCCGCTGTGACCCCCTCTGCTGCTGTGAGCCCCTCTGCTGCTGTGAGCCCCTCTGCCGCTGTGAGCCCCTCTGCCGCTGTGAGCCCCTCTGCTGCTGTGAGCCCCTCTGCTGCTGTGAGCCCCTCTGCTGCTGTGAGTCTTCCACGTTGTTTTCTTTGTCCAATTTCTCCCCGTCAATGTGCTTACCTGTTGCCGCCTCTTTGGGTCCCCTCCGTTTCTCTGTTTCACGTCTTCAGTTCTTCACTCCTCGTCTCACTTCACACCCTTTTCGCACCGCCGTTTCTTTTCTTCTTTGCCAAATGACCTTGCTCTCTCATGCTCCTTTTGCTACTGTCAACAAAACAGTTAGTATCTGCTCCCTTTCCTACTGCCCAGCCTGCCACCTCCTCTCTCCCACACCCACCACCGTACTAATCTACCCATCCCCATCACCCCATGCTAATATCAACATCCCTATTGCCGCACCCCACATAATGCGCCCCACTTGCCGCACCCCTTCCTTGGCCCTCCCCTGCCCCCCCCTCCCCCCCTCTCCCCCCTCAGCTGGCGATACAGCTTGGCGCCATTCCCCACGCGTGGGCGCTGCAGCTAGTGGAGGAGCTGGAGGAGCTCTATGGCACCCTGGGGGTACGTACTTGGAGCCATGGGCTGTCATCAGGTGGGGTGGTGGGGCAGGCATGTGTGATGGGGTGGGTTGAGTTGGTGGCGAAATCTTTGTGCTGTGCTGATGGGGGGGTTAAAATGCCAGGGGGCATGGCACTGTACAGCATGCATTTCACGCTGAATCACACCTTGCAATTCGGCTGCTCCCCATTCCTCTCCTTACCCTTCCCACTTCCCCTCCCCCCTGCCCCCTTCCCATTCCCTTCTGCTGTTTCATTGTACACGTATGTGGATCTGGAGCAGCCCATTCACGTGGCAGCAGTTCAGTGGGTGGCGCCGATGCTACCCACGCCCGTGATACAGCTGGCAGTGCGGTTCACCGATTTTCTGGAGGATGCTGTCTTCCCCCCGGCATTGGACAATGACATCCGAATGATGTGAGTGTACGCATGCATGGTATTCGGTGCCATGTGATTTGTGCATGCCATGCGAGTAGAGTTCTGAATGCCATGCGGTGGGCATGGGCATTGGGCATCACCCACTGCTTTCACGTCGCACCATTGCCATCTTGTGTGACGGCATGCCTGCAAACTGTATGCTCCCTGGTAAGATCTTCAGCTGGGAATCGCCCTGTTCTCTCTCCTCCCTCCCCCCTCTCCAACTCATCCCTGCATACCCCCCTCCATTCCCTTCCTTCCCCCCCCTTGCCCCCATCAGGCTGCCTGCAGTGCCTCCCACTACAGCTTTCACTCACAGATACCACCTCCCCCTGGCGTTCCAGCACCAGCAGCACTTCCAGGGCCCGCTCCAGCTGCCACCTCCCCCTGGTAACAACCGCAATGTCACCCTCACAGACGTTACTGCCCCTCTGCACTTCAACAATGCTGGCTATGCTGGTACTGATGGCATTGCTGGCAACGCTGCTGCTCGACAGAGGCAGTCTCCGCTGCTGCTGTTGCCAACCCCACCCCCTACAGAGTTGGCTGCCGGGGGGGTGCATGGTGAGGGAGTGGCTAATGGCCGAGTAACTCCGTCTCCTAGTCTTGCTCCTCCTGCTCCTGCTGCTGCTGCTGCTGCTGCTGCTGCTGCTGCTGCTGCTCCTCCTGCTGCTGCTGCTGCTGCTGCTGCTGCGGCTCCTGCTCCTCCTCCTCCTCCTGCTGCTGCTGCCACTATCGCCAGTCCAGTACGAGGAAACAACTTCCCAGAGGCGTTCAGGCCCCGGGCAAAGGTGACTAATTCGGAGGAGGAAGAGAGTGCATTCACGCTCAGTGGACTGTCGGAGATGAGTGAGTCTGACACTAGCGAGGATAGTGGTGGGGGGGGGGATAATGGTGATTTGGGACAGGAGGAAGGAGGGGTGGGTGGAGGGACGGGAGGAGGGATGGGAGGAGGAGTGGGAGGAGGAGTGGGAGGAGGGATGCGAGAAGTGGGAGTGGGGGTGGGAGAAAGGGTGGAAGGAGTGGGAGCAGGGGTGGGAGCAAGGACAGTAGCGAGAGGGCAAGGTGGTGAGAGGTGGATTCGAGATTCGGAGAGAGCACTAGGAAGAGCAAACGGAGGGGGGGGAGGGCAATGGGGGGCAGCAAGAGAAGATTATGAGCGGTGGGGAGCGGTGAGAGAGCAGGGGAGGGGAGTGGAGATGCCCCAGATGCCCCAGCAGAGCCGATGGCTGAGGAACGGGCGGACTGGGATATGGAGTAGGGCACAGAGTGAGCGTGGTAGGATGATGGGGGGTGAGGGGGAGGCATTGGAAGAGGCAGGGGGAGAGTCATGGGGAAGGGGACAGGCAACGAGAGGGATGGATGGAACTATCACCGCTCCTCCCCCTCGTCCTGCTCCTCCCCCTGCTGGTTCCGCCCCTGTGACTGGCACCCAATCTGCTGGTGGTCTATATCCCAGCCAAGATACAGGGGCAGAAGGCCGGACAGAGGGAGGAGAAGGAGGCGTATTGCAAAGAGGAGGGGGAGTAGGAAGAGGGGGGCTGTGGGAGAGGGAGGAGGATCCTGGCAGGGTGTACTACGCACGTGACTTGGACATTTTCAGCCCTTCCCATGGGTTTGCTGGCACTGGAAGGGGAGGAGGAGGAGGTGTGAGGGGAGAGAGAGGTGAGGTGAGGGAGAGAGTGAGGTGTGTGGAGGAGGAAGCGGAGGAGGAAGAGGACGACTTGGGCTTTGCAAGCATGGAGGATGGTGGGGAGGAGGACGAGGAGGAGGAAGGGGAGGAGGAGGAGGAAATGCGAGCATATGTGGATTTGAACTGGAGGCGGGAGGGAGAGGAGAGCAGTGAGAATGAGCCCCTAGCTCAAGGGCAGCGAGCGAACACGCCACGCAGCAGGAGAGTAACAGCATCAGCAGTTGCAGCAGCAGCAGGGGCAGCCGCAGCAGCAGGAGCAGCAGCAGCAGCTGCTGGAGCAGGAGCAGGAGCAGGAGCAGGAGCGGCAGTTGCAAGGGTGGTGGGAGTATCAAGTCGTAACGAGGATGGGAGGGAGGAGGAGGAGGATGAAGAAGATTTCCGGAGTGCGCGGGTGCAGTGGGATGAAGATTCTGCTCGTGGATCTGCAAGCACTCCCCGATCCACTGGTCAATCATCCACCCGCTCCCAGGAGGGTTCTGTCACTCCGCGCTCTACAGCTCGCTCCTCTGCTCGCTCTCTGTCGCTGTCTCAGGCGAACACGCTTGGAGGTGTGGGGGAGGGGGATGAAGTTAGTGTGAGCGGGGGGAAAGGGGGAGGGGAGAAAGGAGGGGGAAGGGGAGGATGGGGTGCAACGCTGAGGAAGGGGAGGTTCTGGTAGAGCAACTAGAAGAGTTGTGCGCGTGAAGAGTGAAGTGTGAAGAGGAATAAGTGAAGAGGGAAGAGGGAGGAGGGGGGATTGAAGGTGGAGGAGCGAAGGTGGAAGAAACACACCATGGTTGTCAGGAGGGAGGAGTCTGATATTTAGCTTCTTTTGCTCCCTCACCCTGATCCTCAGCACACGCTCTTGCTTGCTCCCTGTCACAATGACAGTCAAACACGCTTGAGAGCTGGGGGAGAGAGGGATGACGAGAGTTTGAGGTGGGGTAAAGAGGTTAGAGGAGAGGGAGGGAAGAAGAGCGGGAAGGGGAGGTAGAAGGGGGAGATAGTGTGCGAGACTAAGGGAGAAAAGGTTTTGGTAGGGATGTGTAAAATCTGGAGGTTGTTGACAATGTGAGGGAAGGAGGGCAGGAGGGAAGGAAGGAAGGAGGGTGAGGGAGAGGGGGGAGAAGACTATAGTGAAGTTGAAGGAGTGGCGTAGTGTGGGGGATGGAGAGAGGAGACAGTGAATGAAAGTGTGTAGTGAAATTGGGGGGAGTGTTGTCTAGATTAGAAAAAATACTGTCTTGCACTGGCAGATTGTACAGAAATGGAAGTTTTGTACATAAGGGAGGAGGGGAAGAAAATGTGGTGGAAGGTGAAAGCAAACGTTTGTAACACTAAGAAAGTGATAACGTCCATTCACACGATGACATATGTGCTGTTTGCTATAGCCAGTACAACCCACAAATGAAACTGCTTCTCCTTCCATGAGCATTCCGATAACATCATTGTAACATGTCATACTCATAATAAACATGTGAACATTTGGTCCTTCTGCACAGTACTTTTCCATTACCAGAGATTGGTGAGAAGAAAATTATGGTTAGAGGATTGTTTTCCACAGCACACGAACTGGGAAGAGCAAGATCTGCAAAGGGGAGGAAGAAACCATAGGAGAGTGGAGAAGCAACGGATAGACAGGGGAAGGAGGAGGCAAGAAAGATAGTGAGGTGAAATGAGTTCAGTCGAAAGGTCTTATTTAACAGGCAGCCCTAAAGAATGAGAGGAGTGCATTTCACAAGCCTAAAGCTCTACACAAAAACATAAGACGAAGCTGAGAGGGTAGAAACATTACCTAGACACATGAGAGCCCACAAGCAACGTTAAAATAAGAGCGAAAAGAGTGTTAGAATCCGGAAGGTAGCAGTGCACACTTCTCACCTTGTCAATGGGCGCGGTGCTGTACCGTGAGCATTTGGAAGGCAGCAGCACTTCTCACCTTGTCAATGAGTGCTGTGCTGTGAGCATCTGCTGCCAGCACATGCACTCCCACTACTGGACCGTGCTCTCCTTGACAACCAACATCGCCAGCAGCAGCAGCAGCAGCAGCAGCAGCAGCATTGCGTGCCTCCTCGCACGCTCTGCACTGCAGTGCAGCGTACACGCACCCATCAGTGGGCTGCCACTGGCCCCCTGAGACTGTGAAGAATGAAGTACCAGGAGGATTCCACAACTGCTGCTCACTCTCACTCTGCCTGCTGTATATCTGCTGCTGCTGCTGCTGCTGTTGGTGCTGTTCCTGTTGCTTCACACTTGTTCCATCCTTCTGCTCCCTCAACAAACGTCCCCCATCCCCTACAACAAACACAGCCACAGCTCTCACCTCCACTTCCCTCTCCGCTTTCTCTGCCTCATGCCCCAGCGCCCTCCCCACCCCATGGCACAACGCCCATAGCGCCGGCTTGCCCTGCAGCCTCACTGGGCGGGGTAGAGGGGCGGGTGGCGCTGGGGGGGGATGCAGTGCACTTGCACCTGCTGCTGCTGGTGCGGCTGGTGACTGGGTACAGGGGGGGCAAGGGGCTTGGAAGAGCGCTGCTGGCATACGGGGAGGTGACTGAATAGCGGTGAGCGGGTGCAATGGGCTGCCAGTGGTTGCGCGAGTGGTTAATGATGGCGTAGAGGGAGTGCGGCATGTGTTGCTATGTGAGAGAGCTGAGGGAGTGCGGTGTGCAAGTGGTGAGGCGCGTGTGATTGATGACGAGGAGAGCAGTCCAGCAAGGTCACTCGAGGTGAAGGCGAGGTTGGGTGGGCAGACGAGAAGGGCACCGTGGCAAGCCCGACACACTGCAACCAGCTGCTGCTGATGATGGTGGTGGTGGTGGTGGTGCTGCTGATAATGATGATGATGATGATGACTTTGATGCTGGAGTGGTTGTAGTTGATGTTGCTGCTGCTGTTGGTGGTGTTGCTGAGCCTGCTGTTGGTGCTCCAGGTGTAAGATTTGGGGTGAACAGCTTTGACATGCCACAGGGGCAGCAGAAGCTCTTCCCTGACCGTTCCCCTCCCTTCCACCCTCTTCCTCGTCCCCTCCACAGACAAGCTCTGTTCTTCCCACAGAGTCCCTGCCCATCGGCCCATTGACCTCTCTGCATCGTCCATCCTCCAGACTTCTATCCTTGTCCAGGTGCTTGTGGCATGGGTTATCATTCTTTTCACATGCCAGCACCACTGTGCCATTGCCCTCGCACGCACGGACCATGCCTTCACCATCCGCACATGCCATCACCATCTGCTCCACGTCGTCAAACCCCAGCACACGGCGAATGGTATCCATGCCCCCATCATCAGCATCATTATCCCCACCCGATCGCCTCTCCTCCTTGTGTCTTCTCCTCTCGACCTCGCCACTCACGATCCCGCCTGTCTGAATCTCCACTCCCTCCTCTTCCCTTGTCACCCATCGCATGCCTGCCGTCTCCAACATGGCCCTTACCTCCCTTACCTCCCTTACCTCCCTTGCCTCCCTTGCCTCCGTTTCTGCCTCTATCTCCCCACATCTTCCTGTTCTTCCCTCACTGATCGTTTCCACTGGTCGCTGTGGGGTGTTATGGCGCCCATGCGCTTCCTTTCTTCCAACCACCACTGCACCTCCCTCCTCTCCCCCTCCCCCCTGCACCATCATGCTATCACCATCTCCCCGTGCCATGCCCTCTCTGTCATTCCCACATCCATCCACATCCGTCTTCTCCTCCTCCTCCCACCAGTTCCCTTCTCTCCCACTCCTCTCTCCCTTGTTCTCCTTGTTCTCCTTACACTCCTCATCCTCCCCACAAAAGCGCTCTTTTTCCACCGCTGTCCCCAACGCTGTCCCCACAGCCGAACAAAGTTCCCTACACCCTTCAAGCACCCTATCTGTTCCACACGCTGCTTCCTCCCCACACTGCCCCTCGTCCCCCTCCTCCCCTAGAAACGACTCCAGCCTAGCCCTCATGGCAGCTCGCCTATGGGACAGAATCGGGGAGCGGCGACGGGAGGAGGGGAGCTGGGAGGGATGAGTTGACAGGGGTTGAGAGGGACGAGGGGTGGGAGAGGCGGTGGGGTGTGGAGAGAACGGTTGGGAAGGATGGGAGGAGGAGGGCTGGGATGGGCGGGAGGAGGGCTGGGATGGGTGGGAGGAGCAGGAGCTGGAAGGTTGGGGAGAGGGAGATAAGGAGTGTGGCTGGGTGGGGTGAGAGGGGAGAGGAAGGGAAGGATGTGGGGGAAGGGAGGAGGCTGCGGGAAGGAGGGTTGTAGGTGTGTGATAGATGTTGTGTGGCGAATAGTGGGACGAAGGGTGGGGAGGGGGTGATGAGACATGGGAGGCGGGAGGTGTGGGTTGAAGTGGTAGAGAGTGTGAGAGAAAAGGCTGGGGAGGGAGGGGAGGGAGTGTGTGGAGGGCTGGTTGTTGTTTTTGTTGTTGTGTTGCCTGTTGATGGTGCACTGGAGGATGGGGGAGGGGCGGTAAGGCACGGGGAAGGAAGTAGCTGCGTGCGCCGCGTGCTGCCGCTGGTGATGGCGATGGTGCTAGAGCTGGCGGTGGTGGTGGTGGTGGTGCTGCTGCTGCTGCTGCAGGCAATGCTGCTGGTGACGGTGCTCCTGCTGCTGCTGACAATGGTGATGGCACCGGTGGCGGTGGAGGTGGTGGTGTTGCTGTTGCTGCTGCTGATTTGGACTGTTCCTGGCCTCGCGGGTTGGGCTTAGGGTGAATGGGAAGAACGCACCTGAGCGATGCACATCCACACAGCAGTGGGATGTTGGGGGGAGGGGGAGGGGGGGTGGGGGAGTAGCATGGATCGGGCTCCTTCATGCTCCTCAGAAGCTGCGAGATGATTTGAAACGAAGCAGCATATCTGGCGATCTTCTAGTATTTCCCAAAATCAATCACTCGAACAGCAAGGCTGGTTCTCTTACCTGAAGGCGTGAAAATCAGGCGGCTGACTCTGTGCAACTCCAATGCCCCTCCCACCGCCACTGCCACTGCAAATGCCACTGCCACTGCCACTGCCACCGCCACTAGCGACAGCTGTAGTCTTGAAACAAGCAAGAGGAGCACAAGGAGCATCAGCACAGCAACCAGCAAGCGCTTTGGCACCACCACCCTCCTCCTCCGTCTGATCACAACACTGACAGTTGCTGTCCATCCGACCACTTGCACGTGCGTCACCAGATGCCGTAACCTCTCCCTTCTCTCTTCCCAACCCTTTTTCCACGCTGCATCCCAGCTGCTCCTGCCGCTTCTGCTCCTCCTCTTCCTCCTCTTGAGGCTTTGCTTTCTTCTGCTGCCTCCTCTGCATCTGCTTCTCCTTCAGCTTCTGATTCTGATTCCTCTGCTTCCTACGTATCCTCTTAGCTCCCTTCCACTCTTGGTTTTTATCTCCTTTATCATCCCCATCCTCGTCCTCCTCCTCTTCCCCATCTCGCTTCACTTGCTTCTTCACTTTCTCATCCACCCTTCCCTCGTCTTTCTCGTCCTCCTCCCTCCCTTCTGGCACTCCCTTAATCTTCTTAGGCGCTCGAAACTTCTCGCACACAGCACTACGCTTTTCACTCCCACAACCCCTTCCCACCCCAGTCTTCTCACCCCCTGTTCTACTCGCTTTCGTGCCCTTCCCTCTCACACCCTCCTTGCCCCCCTTCCTAGGACCTTCAGCCTCCCCCATCTCTCGAAACCCCATCTCTCCCAAGCCCCTTCCCAGCCCCCCTATTTCCTCCTCCTCCTCTTCCTCGTCCTTCTCCTCCTCCTCTTCCGCCGTTTTCTTCAATCCCTCTCTCTCCTCTCCCTTCTCTCCCTCCACTCCAGATACGTGCATTACATCCCTCTCATCCGCCTCTCTTCCCCCGCTTCCTCCCTGTCCACCTCCTCCTTGCCCCCCTGCTGCCAAGCCCTTGCAACCAGGCGCCCTCGCCTTGGCACCTATACTTGGGATGCCAGGCTTGGACTGGGCCGGCTTGGTTGGATATAGCCGCTGGAAATGGGCGAGAGGAGAAGGGACACGTGATGGCGGTGGGTGGATGGTACAGGGTGGATGATGGAGGATGGATGCTGGTGGGCAGAGAAGAACAAGGGTTTAGGATCAGCTTCGCAGGAATCAGCTCAGCTTCTAGACACGCACCCTCCGCTCACCTTTGCTCCACACTCCCGCTTCCCACCTTTGCTCCACACACCCTCCTCCGCTCACCTTTGCCTGGGTGAAGAACGAGGAGAGGGCAGTAGACGCAGCAGCGGGGCTGGCATGGGCGCACAGCTGAGAGCGCAGCCAGCGAGGCATCTGCTGCTGCAGGTGGGGGGACAGCAGCCGATCGTCTGGAAAAGAAAAGGGGGAGAGAGATGAGGGGAAGGACGAGACTTGTGGGAGCGCAGCCAGCGAAGCATCTGCTGCTGCAGGTGGGGGGACAGCAGCCGATCGTCTGGTGGGGGGTTGAGCGGGGGAGAAGGGGTGGGGGGGGGAACAGACGTTTTAGGTGTCTAAGAGGCACGTGCTGATGCAAGTGGGGGACAGCAGCCGATCATCTGGTGGCGGGAGGGGGAGATAGGAGGGACGAGGAAGAGAATCAATGGGGAGGGACGAATGGACGAGATCGGGAAGAGGTGCGCCTGCGACCTTCGTTCAGGCAGTTCGTTCGAAGACGGCTTGCTGAGTTGGAGAGAGATGGCGAAAACAGTCTAAGGGAAGAGGCTGCTGCTGCAGCTGCTGAGGAGGGCGATGAGGGTGACTCCACTTATACTCTCTCAGGGGAGAGGGTTTCCGATTCCTGGACTGGGGAAGACAGTGGGGATGGACCCCATTCCCGCCCGAACCGTCGCCAAGCCGCGCAGAACCAAGGCCGAGACGGGGATTAAAATTTCCCTTCACCAGATCTGAATTTCTTTTCGCCCACAGCACTGGCGGCGCGGGACGATCTTTTCGCCCAAATCGCGGAATGGAACCTGTCATCACTTCGTGATAGTCGCCAACCACCCCTCGCCCGCCATGCACCCCGCGAGATTCGTGAGGAATTCCGCCACGTGCCTCCTGACGCCCCTGCTCCGATTGGCCGATGCCCCTGATTCCGTGCCTGGATGGAGGCTTCTGTTCTTCCTCCCACGGCTGACCCTCTGCCCTGGCTCCTCCCGCAAACCTGATTGGCCAGATATCCAGCGCCGGCTGGAGGCCTTCCGCCGCGGATCCTGGGCAGACCTCTATGCCGCAGCAGCCGCCGTTCATTTGCCCCCACCCCCACGTCATGCTGCGGATCCAACGGGCCTCATCGCTCGGGCTGAGGGCCTCGCCAGCTGTGGTAACCTCGGCAAGGCTGTCAGAGCTCTCGAAGCCACCCCCGTCAGCCCATCCACCGAGGAGACTCTCCAAGCTCTCCTGTCACGCCATCCAGCTGCTACCATCGCCTTGCCTGACTGGGTCCCCTCACACACCCTTGAGCGTAACCCATCCATCTGCGCCAAGGCTTTTCGCCGCATCCTCTCGCAGCTGCCTAATGGAGTTGGCGCAGGCCCCTCTGGCACTATCTTTGAAATCCTCCGTGACGCTGCGCTATCCAGCGGTGACATCTGTCGGCATCTTCTAGCGCTCACCAACTTCGCCCTCGCGGGGAAGCTCTGCCCCGAAGCATCGTCGCTCCTCACAGGTTCCCGCCTCCTCGCTTTCTCCAAGCCCACTGGTGGCACTCGACCCATCGCGGTCAGCGAAGTTCTGCATCGTGTCTTCGCCAAGGCGGCCCTCTTCCTGGCCGCAGCCCCAGCCCACGTCCACTTCACACCGATCCAGATTGGTGTGGCGATCCCTGGCGGCGCCGAGGTGACCATCCACGTCACCCGTGCTTACCTCGACGTCCACACCGGCCACGTGGCGCTGCAAATCGACTTCGCAAACGCCTTCAACGCCATCGAACGAGCCGCCGTTTTCGAAGGCCTCCGCGGGACCGGGCTTGAGTTCCTAATCCCTTTCGTTCGCCTTTCCTACGGCGCGCCGTCAACAGCGGGTTTGGCGTCCCGCCGCTGTCGAGCGCGAGGGGTGTACGCCAGGGGGACCCGCTGGGCCCGCTCCTCTTCGCCGCGGGCCTCCATCCCTCGCTAACGGCTATGGTGGCTGCCTTCCCAGAGGTCGTCATCCTGGCCTATGCGGATGATGTCACTCTGCTTGGTTCCCCAGCGGCCTGCTCTGTTGCCTTCCGTCACCTCACCTCCATCATTTCTGCGGGAGGGCTGCAGCATAACCCCGCGAAATGCGAGGCCTGGAGTCCCAGCCCTCTGCCTGCGTCAGCTTTGCCCGACGACATCGCCTCCAGCGCCGATGGCCTCAAAGTGCTCAGCAGCCCGATTGGGTCGCCGCGCGCCTGCGCGACTACCCTCCGCGCCCGCCTCTCTGCGGTTGCCGCCCCGTTGCCGCTGCTCTCGGATATGGACCCCAGGTCGCCCTGCTGTTCTTGACTCGCTGCGTCGCTTGGCAGGTTGCTTACCTGCTCCGCTCGACACCGCCGGACACGCTACCCACAGACGAATGGGACACCTGGGGGGAGCGTCTGTTTCGCACGGCGCTCGGGGCCTGCCGCCTGCAGCTGCCGCGCGGGTCCCATGAGCGGAGACGGATCTGGGACCAAGCATCCTTGCCGGCCCTCGGGGGCCTGGTGATCAGCAACTCTGCCGTGGAAGCTGGCCCAAGCTACCTTACCTGTGCCGCGGCTTCTGCCCATCTGGTGAACGACCTGACTGAAGTGCCGCGGGCGGTGGCTGGCCTTCTCGAGCAGTTCGCCCCTGACGCTGCTGCTGCCGCACCGTTCCCCCGACGCCTCGCCACACTCGAGGCCGCCCTTCCCCCCTCGGCTGCTGATCTGCTGCGGCACGAGTGCGCCTCCCCGGACCCACCCAAGCTGCAGCGTGCTCTGGTGCTGCAAGTGCAGGCGGAGCGTTATACGCTCCTACAGGACCAGGTTCGCCAGATGCCGCTCAACCCGTTGCAGGGCACACTCAGCGCCTCCTGTCTTTGGTGGGCCCTTGGGCAGGCGATTGGCTCCACGCCCTCCCCATGGCCTCCGCCATGCGCCTCTCCCCCGGCCAGTTCTCCACGGCAGTTGCCTTCCGCCTCGGCCTCCCGTTCTCGACGCCCCACGTGTGTGACTGCCCCAAGTGCAAGCCCATCCAGGACCCCCGCTTGCCCAACCACCTCCTTAGGTGTGCCAAGGGCCCTGGACGTACGGGCACCCATCACGGTCTTCGTGATGAGTGCGCTCGTATAGCCACTGAGGCTGGCTTCATCATGCGCAAAGAGACCAACCTCTTCTCGAGGGTGGCTAACCTGTGGGCGGACGTCGCCATCCGCCACCCCTACACGGGGGCGGTATGTCTGTGTGACGTCACCGTCACCGATCCTATCTCCAAAGAGGATCCGCACGCCCACAAGGGAACCAGCTGGGCAGCCAGGGTGGCGGCCCGGGGGAAGGAAAACAAGTACAGCCCTCCCACCCGGGACGAATGGGTTGGCTTCTTTGCCATGGCGGCGGAGACGTATGGGCTCACCTCGCCGGGGGTCTTCGGGTTCCTCCGCCAATGCGCGGAGCTGGCTGCGAAGAAGTGGTCCAACACAACCCCTACCTCGCGTGAAGCTGCCAAGCTCTTCCACGAGCACCGGCAGCGGTGGTCCGTCACTCTGCAATGGGGGCAAGTGGTGGCTCTGAGCACCAAGATCAACCAGGCCTTGGTGGCCGAGGAGTCGCCTTGGGGCGAGCAAGCAGAGCCGCTGCCCGTGGGGGACCTCCTTCAAGTACTTGAGCCGGTGCTGGGGGACCCTTAGGGTCCTTCGGCCCGGGCTGCTAGGACTCACCTGAGTGGTTGTCCACCTGCCTTGACTGTACTCTTCTTTTATGTAGTACGAAGGACCAATTGACGAGGAGTAGGAGGAGTTAAAAAGCGATCAACACAGGAGCAACTGTAAGAAACACGCTGGGGGACGGGAGGACCACGGCGGTCAAAGAGTGAAAGCAAAGTGCCGCCTGCACGTGTTTTTTTTTGCCTTTTTCTCTTCGAATAGTCCACGCGCTGTGCGTGTTGTTAAGTAGACAACCTATGGGCCAGTATGAGTACAGAGATGCATATTGTGGCTGATTTAAGCTTGCTGTGCTTTGGCATGCCAGTGCTGGACATACATACCCAGCAGAATGATGGCTCCATAGTCGAATCGATGTCGAATGCATCGACCTGAAATGGTGGACGTTTGGAAAGTCGGGGTGGAAAAAGAAGAAAAGGTCAAATAAACAAGGGAGCTAATTACATGTTCCGTGCGTGTACTTTCGATTCACTCAACAAGCAATGGCCGTTTGAGGAATACGAGCCGCAATACGAGGGGCATTGAGGAAGGTAGAGAGAAAAGTGGGGCGAGAACAAGAGCGGGAGGGGGAGGAGGAGAGCGAATGGAAGGAGGAAAGGAGAGGGCGAGAGGGAGTGGCATACCTATAGCTTGGTTGAGTGCGCGGAATGCATTTTGCCGGTACCACTGGTCCCCATTCAGCCGCTGCACACATTGCTGCTGCTGCTGCTGATGTTGCCGTGAGCCCTCGCCATACTGCAGCAGGTGTGGTGATGCCGGTGGCGGTGGCTGTGCTGCTGCTTGGTTGTTATACGCCTTCTTCAGTGTGACCTGGAGGCACTTGCTGGCGGGAGGACGGGAGGACGGAAGGACGGAAGGATGAAAGGAACGGATCAAGTGGGTGCTCCTTCTAGCATCGCACAAGGAGGCGAGAAGGAGTGTAAAAGTGGAAGTAAAAGCATTCTGTCAGCTGTGAGTGGTGCCAGTGCAAGTGAAACTGAGCCAAGTGCCTTGACAAAGGAGGGGTGGGGTGGGGAGGGTAAGATGTGGGAGGGCATACATGTTGGGAAAGGGGATGCCGACGACCATCTGCGAGGACAATGGAGAGGAGGCCGGTTTGCAAGGGATAGGATGGATGGAACTGAAGCTTAGAAAGGCAATGCAGAGAGGGCTCCATCAGAGCTTGTGCAATGTGGAGCGGGAGAGCAAACAACAGACTCAGAAATTCATTTCTGGGCACGAGATTTAACCAGTAACCCACGGCCTGCGGCAGCCGCAGGTAAGTGCGCAAGATGTGTCGAGAGCACAGACAACCATCTCTGAAGACCGCACCCAACTATCGATCTCTTTGCGGGACAAGGGCCTAGATAGAAGCACAGGGTGCCATGGCAGCACAGCATGGGAGCTTCAGCACATGGTATGGACAGGATGTCTTGATCCTAGATTCATGCCCCATAGTAGACACCGCCTTAAGTCCACAGCAGCACAGTTCTAATGGGTGGTGAGCGAGTGTACTTACCACAGCGCGCGCAGTGTCATCTGCAAAGTCAATGCCTTCTGATGCCTGCGCGGGGGAAAAGACGGGCGGGGATGGGAGGCAATAACAGTGAGAAGGGATCTGGGCTGGGGAGGAGGTGGTGAAGCGTGCTTTCAGACTGGGAATAGAGTCTTGGGTTTCGGGTTTGAGGTTTGGGGTATGTGGC